CGCGTGTCACCGCCTCCCGTGTGTCGCCTCCTCCCCGTGTGTCACCGCCTCCCCAGGTCTCCGCCTCCCCGTGTGTCACCGCTCCCCGCGTGACTCCCGTGTGTCACCACCTCCCCGTGTGTCACCGTCTCCCATCGTGTCGCCGCCTCCCCGTGTGTCACCGCCTCCCCGTGTGTCTCCGCCCCTTGCCCGTGTGTTACCGCTCCCCGTGCGCCACCGCCTCCCCGTGCGTCACCTCCTTCCTGTGTGTCACCGCCTCCCCGTGTGTCTCCGCCCCCTTGCCCGTGTGTTACCGCCTCCCCGTGCGTCACCCGCCTCCCCGTGCGTCACCTCCTTCCCGTGTGTCACCGCCTCCCGTGCCACCGCCTCCCCGTGTGTCACCGCCTCCCCGCGTGTCTCCCGTGTGTCACCGCTCCCGTTGTGTCACCGCATCCCCCTGTCACCGTTTTCCCGTTGTGTCACCGCCTCCCGGTGTGTCACCGCATCCTCCTGTCACTGTTTTCCCGTGTGTGCACCGCCTCCCGTGTGTCACCGCCTCCTGGTGGTGCCGACAGTAAGCAGGAGGGCGTCTGCGGCAGTCCTGAGAAGCCGCTCTCCGATCTGGGCAAGCTCAGCTACCGCTCTAACTGGAGCTGGGCGCTGCTGGAGGTGCTTACGAGTACAGGGACATCGCCAACCTCAGCATCCTCAGGTGAGGCCTGCCCAGACTCCCCCGGCTCCCCCGACGCCAACTCCGTCCACTCAGGCGGGGAGCGTGTTTCGCGCGATCATGTGGGCCGCTACTGCTTAGGCGATCCGCCGTAGGCTGTCAGAGCATTGTTTGCAAAGTTTCGGCTGGCTCCGTTAGCGCCGCTTTTTTAGAACTGCAATTTATCGTTGCGATGAGGGTACAGATTTGCGTTGTGTGCTGGGTACTAAGGTGAAACACGATTTTAAACGTGCTGCTGGCAGCAGTTCCATAATCCAGAATCGCGGCGTCCGTGTGATAAAAAAACCGATGCGGTCGGCCGTTGCTTATTCCATTACGTATGCAGAATGTCCGTTTTGATGCGTGAGTATGCACATCACATATTTTACATACCCAGCATAACAGATGTGGGAATGATCGATATGAGGTGAATTGCATTGCGAATGGTGCGCACACCGACGCCCAGGCGAGAGGGCGCCAGTCCAGTTCTTCCCCTAGCATTACAGGGCATTGGTTATTGTCAGTGTGTGTTGTTCAGCTTGTTCACTCGTGTATTTGATTGCATTTTCTGCGTTTTCCCGTTCTCAGTGACGTCAGCAGTGTTTCCCGTTCCTAATGACGTCAGCAGTGTGTTCCCGTTCCCAGCGGCATGAGCGGTGTTTTACCGTTCCCAGTGACGTCAGCAGTGTTGCGACCGCGTGCTGTCATGTTTCAGTGACATCACTTCCATCGCGCTGCCGGACGTCATCACGTCCCTGCAGTCGCTCAACATGCTCAAATACTGGAAAGGTATGCCGTCGACCGGCTGCGAACCGTGTCACCGAACCCTGGGCGGAGCCGTCCAGCCACGCCAAGGAAGCATACTTCTGCCATTGTTTCGAGAAAGCCATGTTGCCAAAATATCAGCCTAACTTAATCTCTATTCTCCTGTTTTTTTCCGAGGAACAAGGCCTATACTACGGTCTTATCAATGGTGCAAACGATTAAACGACGTAAACGTGCTTCAAAATACACAGTCATCGGCGTTGAGTCTCCGTTCTCTCCCGCCTTAATGTGCTAGTCTCCGGTTGTTTGCTGGGGCCCCGTCTGCTGTCCGCCCTGTACCCCTGCGCGCGCGCTTCTGTGAGCTGGGCGGCGGGCGCCGCTCTCGGGCTTGCTGACCGGTCGCCGTTGGCGCCGCCGGCAGGCCAGCACGTGCTGTGTGTGACGGCCGAAGCTGATCGAGGACCACATCCGGTCGGAACGAATTCCGCCGGCCCCGTCTCTCGTCGACACCGGCGTCTCAGGTGAGCTGGCCGGGCGTGATGTGACGACCCGGCGTGACGCTGGTGCGGGGGCATTACGGGACGTGACGGCCGGCTGTGACGCTGGTGGGGCATGGTGTGATACGGGAGGGTGGCATTAGGCGGTGACGCCGGTAGGCATGGTGTGATACGGGAGGTGACGGCCAGGTGTGATGCTGGTGGGCATGGTGTGATACGGGAGGTGACGGCCGGCTGTGACGCGGTGGGCATGGTGTATACGGGAGGTGACGGCCGGCTGTGACGCTGGTGGGCATGGTGTGATACGGGAGGTGACGGCCGGCTGTGATGCCGGTGGGCATGGTGTGATACGGGAGGGGGCCGGCTGTGACGCTGGTGGCATGGTGTGATACGGGAGGTGACGGCCGGCTGGACGCCGGTAGGCATGTGTGATACGGGAGGTGACGGCCGGCTGTGACGCCGGTAGGCATGGTGTGATACGGGAGGTGACGGCCGCTGTGACGCCGTGGTAGGCATGGTGTGATGATACGGGAGGTGACGGCCGGCTGTGACGCTGGTGGGCATGGTGTGATACGGGAGGTGACGGCCGGCTGTGACGCTGGTGGGCATGGTGTGATACGGGAGGTGACGGCCGGCTGTGACGCGGGTGGGCATGGTGGTGTGATACGGGAGGTGACGGCCGGCTGTGACGTGGGGCATGGTGTGATACGGGAGGTGACGGCCGGCTGTGACGCTGGTGGGCATGGTGTGATACGGGAGGTGACGGCCGGCTGTGACGCCGGTGGGCATGGTGTGATACGGGAGGTGACGGCCGGCTGTGACGCCGGTGGGCATGGTGTGATACGGGAGGTGACGGCCGCTGTGACGCGGTGGGCATGGTGTTGATACGGGAGGTGACGGCCGGCTGTGACGCGGTGGGCATGGTGTGATACGGGAGGTGACGGCCGGGTGACGCCGGTGGCATGGGCATGTGTGTGATACGGGAGGTGACGGCCGGCTGTGACGCTGGTGGGCATGGTGTGATACGGGAGGTGACGGCCGCTGTGACGCTGGTGGGCATGGTGTGATACGGGAGGTGACGGCCGGCTGTGACGCTGGTGGGCATGGTGTGATACGGGAGGTGACGGCCGGCTGTGACGCGGGTGGGCATGGTGTGATACGGGAGGTGACGGCCGGCTGTGACGCTGGTGGGCATGGTGTGATACGGGAGGTGACGGCCGGCTGTGACGCCGGTAGGCATGGTGTGATACGGGAGGTGACGGCCAGGTGTGACGCCGGTGGGCATGGTGTGATACGGGAGGTGACGGCCGGCTGTGACGCCGGTGGGCATGGTGTGATACGGGAGGTGACGGCCGGCTGTGACGCCGGTGGGCATGGTGTGATACGGGAGGTGACGGCCGGATGTGACGCCGGTAGGCATGGTGTGATACGGGAGGTGACGGCCAGGTGTGATGCTGGTGGGGATGGTGTGATACGGGACGTGACGGCCAGGTGTGACGCCGGTAGCGGTGTGATGCGGTGTGACAATGGTGTATGACACCGTCATCGGTGATATCTCACAGGACGTGGCGCTGGCATTGTCGGCTAAACGATTCAACCGGTGTTGTGACGGCGTGTAACCGCGTGTCGTGGGTTATAACCCTGACGCGCCAGTGACGTAACGGTGCGACTTGTGCGGCAGCGTTTCGAGTACAGCAGTTCAGTGACGGCGTTGTGTTGCGGGCATCGAGGACCGCGGACACGTGGCCGGTGCCGTGATTGGTGTCAGTTTATTAACGTCTGCGCTGGCGGCTCTGACATGGCGCATGTCAGACCGATGGCGCGTGTTGATGGTGCGTGGTAGCCGTCGTCGTCACCGATCATGTCGTGTGTGTCGTGACCGAGTGTGTCGCGTCGGTCAGCGGTGTTGCCAGATCTGCTGATGTTCACCTCGTCCCGATAGGTGGGTGCCACCCAAGCGACTGCCTCGGAGAAAGTAGCAGGCGTCGGTGTCGGCGGCCCTCGCGGTGCGGCCGCTACGACAACGGAGTCGTTCCTGCGCCCGCTTAACGGAGTCACTTCGGGGCGGTGCGGATAGGCGGCGAGTCGGTTACCTGACTCCCGACTCGCCGCGGTACGCTGCTGTCTGTGGGTCCGTCGCTGTGTTTATATCGGAGTCACTGGGCTGTCACGCGACTCTGACTCGCGACAGTGAGTCACTGGCGCGAGCCAGAGTCGTCCCCCGCTCGTTGTCACGAGTTATTGTCATTTCATTGTCTTGTCATGCGACGGTCATTGCATAAATACATCCCACCGTGTCATGGATCGAGTTTTGGCGAAAGCTGAAGGGCGTGATGTGCCATAGGCTAGCGCTTGGACTAATACACGTTACGCGATTGTAACACGCATGCGCACACACACGCATGCACGCACAGGCGCAGCCAGACATACGCGCTCGCATACGCAACACGCATGCGCACACGCACGCATGCACACACAGGCGCAGCCAGACATAGCACACGCGCATACGCAGTGCCTCTGAAACGGCCACTGTATTGAATAGAGCCGCCGTGCCCGACGACGTGGTATTAGAGCCATCGTGTTGCCACTTCCCGTCTTTCGTCACAAGCGTCAGAGAGACTGGAACATGGGATCAGGAGTGCGGTGACCATGTTAGTCCTGCTTGGTTGTTGTCCGGAACACATATGCAGCTTTAAGCCATGTCACAATAGGTAAGCTGGTGTTCTTCAGTGCATAGTTGCGTCTTACCCTGTTATGTCCAATTTACGCTGGGGTTGTTTTCTGTTAGGTATACAAAAAACCAGCTCCTTAATGGAGTTGTGGCGCTGTCACGGCCATATCCAATCAGTTGTCTAAATGCACCAACGAATGAACACTAGGCCTAGCTCACGCGATGCGCGATGAGTGCTCCGACCCCCCAGGACAACACGCGGGAGACGCACTTATAACTGAGGCGTGCGTCTACTGTAGGCATGGCCATCCACATGAAGGCGATGGCCAGTCTGATGTCCCCACCGCCTGCAGTACTGCAGGAAGCTTTTCAGATTAATGTCCCCGAACAAAGTAGCTGACATGTCAGTGCTCCTGCTCAGTTTGATGGCTAGTCAGAAATAAGCGTGTCGAGATTTAGAATGTATAAGCCCTTGATTAGAGTTGGTACGAACAGGTAGCATTTTGGTAATGTAACGCAGGGTTCCATTTTGCCCGATTACCTTTGCCATTTTGCCCGATTACCCTTGCCATTTGAACGATGCTTATCCCAATGACGTGGGCTGCTTTGATAGCATCTGTTCCACCTCCGCACCGCTCTTTCACATTTAGGCCTATCACACTTCATTTATATAGTAGGTGTCGATACCTCAACTTCGTTCAGCTGCAGAACCGAAGGTCTATGTTTGGAATGGGAATACAACCGCCGTCACATAAGCGCTTCACGGCGAGGTTACGAATCCACATGATTTGAGCTATGACGCCTCACTCGAAGAATTTAGAGCAGAAAGACACGCTTCACAGACTGATTGACATCTTGGATCGTCCAGCATGGTGAGGCGATCATGGAAACAAAATGATAAAAGGTGCTAAAATAACACGCCGTTTGAGCTGTTTCTGTAATCCATTGCTATTTATCAACGGCGTCATGGTGGATGAAGATTTGGTGCTTGGCCAGGTAGCTTTCGAATGGCCCATATAGATGTCGCCAGTGAGGCCGTCGGAGACCGAGCCACTATTCCTGCTTCAGGTTCTCCTCGCTGCCGGGCTCTGTGCCGGCCACCGGCGTGGTGAATTCCGTTTCCGCCTTTTCGTAGCCCTCGTCGTCGTCCTGCGCCGGCTTCTTCACTCTGCGGGCGAAGATGTCGAGTGACGACGGTTGCATGACCGCCCGTCATCCCTCGAAGACAAGGCCGCGCTCCGAATAGATACACATGGCCTGCGCGGACGTCCACTGTCCCGTGGTCCAGCGGCCTGCCCTAGTCTAAGTGACCGTTAACGGGCGCCGAGTGGTTAGAGTAACGCATGGCTGTCTGTTCACGGCCTTCGAGCGTGGTCTGAGATGCAGTCGGGACTCCCTCCTGACTCCAGTCAGGGGGAGCACGGCACCGCGCGTGTCTGGGTCCCACCAAGCTCCTTAAAACAGCCAGAGAGCCGCGTCTGGGATAATCGCTCCCAAACAACAATCATCCACATGGCTCCGGCATTGAGATGCGTCGGCGTTGCGCGTCGCCATCCAGCGCATCACCCTTGACAAGTATGTGGAGAGCCCTTATCGTGTGGGTCGCGCTACGTTAACTACACTGCTCTGTCTAGAATCGAGGGAGGCTTTGAGGCGCTCTGGCGTGAGCTGTGAGCGTGAATCCTGCTCCACCTTACAAGGAAGCAATACGTCACATCCTACAGACTACCCTTTGCCGGCGGTGAAAGTGCCCCTGCCCTCCCCCTCCCCACCTCCCATCCCGAATCTGCCAAGTCGGTCGCTGTTCAGGCCCGTCAGATCCTCACAATCGTAGCCCACTCATAGAGACTGACGTAAGCCACAAGGCGCGCCTCTCTTCTTATCCCCGACTCTCAATCTGACCACATTCCGCGTGGAACAGCTCGGGCCAGGGATAGGACAGGGATAGGGCAATGATGGGGCAGGGATAGGGCAGAGATAAAGCTTGGATAGGGCAGGCATAGGGCAGAGATAGGGCACGGACATGACTGTTGCACGCTCTTTGCCCCTCTCCCCCATCAGAAATGACCGGGAAAGACTGAAGGCGCTTTGACCGTCCTGAGACCCGACCACAAAACAAAACACTTTGTGTGGCGTTGGCGACCCGCCGCTGTCCTGGCCCTGACCCCATCAATGCCCTGACACGTGGCGCCTGCTCACAAAAAGTAGTAGAGGAGGTAGCCGGCTCCACCCAACATAGCCAAACTGAGCAGCAGGGCCAGCACGAACAGCACGATCTTCTTCGTGTTGTTGTTGCGCACTGAAGCGAACCAGTCGTCCATGGGATGCTTGGGATTCATCCACATCTCGGTCGTACCCTTCACGAGCTGCGAAGGCGAGGGATCACGTTAGGGGGCAGAATAACTCCGGGTGTCACGTGAGACGTTTTAAAAGGATCATGTCTGTTAGAAAAGGTTTGCTGTGCTCGCACTGGGACGAGCGGAAGCTTACGACTCAAAAATATAACTTTTCAGCCTGCACGAGTTCCGCACAACTAAAGCACTGGCCCTATTCATCTTTGTGTTCAGCCATGGGGCTGCGTACTGAAAGTACACAAGATGAAAGTATCTACCGCTAACGTGAACACACTTTCCATAGAGCTCATGCTGTGACCATGTACCTTACATAATACCTTTACAGAAACGTTACAGTGCAAGGATGATGACATTATAATTTTGGCGAGAAAGCATACGAAATTGGTCAGTAGAGTGTGCCACAACTTTCTATGCATCAAACTAACCCACAATTTGTGTGCAGACCCAAAGTTTGTTAGCACCAGGATGGGTGACAAATTAGGTACAATTTCTATCGGGAAGACAGGAGTGGAGGCAGGGGTCAGGATAGTGGGATGGGGGCGAAAGGTAAATGCGACGAGGAGCAAATCTTAAGGCATTCCGAAAGAGTATCTCCCTCCTGTAACATCTCCAAAACACAAGTATTTGCCTGCCTAGGCACAGTTTTTGTTTTTTGTTTTTGTTTGTTTCTTGTTTTTTGTTATCGGCTACCGTCGTAGAAGCCTAGCCATGGACGGATGGCTCATGCCCGCCCACATACCGGCGGATCAGGCCGTTCGACAAGCTTGGGCGGCGGCTTGGCCGGCTTGGAGCCCAGCGTGTAGGCGGGAGCCAGTTCGAACCGTGTGGTCAAGGTCAGCTTCATTGCGTGCTTCAGCTGCCGCGGGATCCGCTGGGAGAGGTACCTGGGGAAACGTACCGGTGCTTGGAATGGACACTGGAACCGACGGCGCATTGAATGGGGCCCGGGCCCCATTCAATGGTTGAATGGGGCCCGCTTAACTTATCACGCTGTGGCTGTGGGTCGTGGAAGTATACAATCTTGTCCTTGGAAATTGCGCTCTGTGAAATGAGGCCGTGTAATTTGAAGTGACTATTATGTGTTGAGAAACACGCCCAGCATTAGGGATAACCAAGGATTATTACTGTATAATGACACTGTAAAAGTATTTACGCATCTCTCACCTCATCTCATCGGGAAACCATCCACATTCCAAGGAAAGGCACCTATGTCAGCGATAACTGCCCACACTTCCCGAACGCCCACATAGGAGGGGCTCAAAGCAGGAGGCATGCGCATCACTGCTTGCTATCGGCCCGTCCGGCCAACGAAGTAACGGAGGTGGGAGAGGGGCGCCGCTGGAGGAAGGGGGAGAGCAGGACCAGCTTCGAGCGCCGTCACGCCGTCCCTACCAGTCCCAGTAGATGTAGGCAGTGAGCGCGCTCGTGTTGCTCCAGATCATGTAGGGCCGCTCCGGCGGGAAGTAGATGGCCGAGAAGCACTTGGTGCGCAGCTTGGCCTGGTCCGGGCCGTGGGAGTGCACGAACTTGAGCGCCCTCTGGCAGTCGCCCTTCTTGTCGATCAGGCTCTTGGTGACGGCCGGCAGCTGCTGCGTGAACTCCTGTCGGCCGGCGACGAACACGCGTCAACACGTTACGATCGCCGCTTGTGAACGTCGGCGAACACGTCGGCCGTGCGCATCTCGTGACACTGCCGAATAAAAATCACGAATATAGCTGTCGTCGCTCTGCATTTGCTGTTAAAAAAGAAAGGCGTTGGAATCACGAGCGGAGCACGATGAGAACAGTTGGTGTGACAAGGCTGCCGAAAGGGCGTCTCGCAGTGGCAAAATTTTGCTTCGTGAAAGATAGTATAGCCACTGCCACAACTGTCATACCGCGGCCTCTTCATGATCGGGTTTGGACAGCAAACTGTGCCGAGCCTGTTTCGCTGGTTCTGACCGCACTGAACGTTCGAGAACTCCGTTGTAGACAAAGCGAGCCGTCTTGCCCTTAATGAGCCAGTAACGGTCAAAGCCATAACGCGGCCGACTGGTAGTGCTGGGACTATCCTGGGCGAGCAAAAAATTACGGGCGCAACCCGAACAGAACTGGACGGAGCGAAACGGGACGGATAAACAAGGGACGGGACGGCACCGAGCCGAATGCAGCCGGACAAAACAAAAGAAGCGAAACGGAACGGATCGGCGCGGCACGGCACGGCACGGCACGGCACGGCACGGCACGGCACGGAACACAACGATCAGAGCACTCACGTCCGACTGCCAAAGTCGGGACGCGTTCACGGTGACGATGGCTCTCTTCTTGCTCGGGGGTGCCCAGATGAACGTGCACCTGTGGAGGCAGAGAACGCTCAGGTCATCCTGCGGCCTCAGTTGGAACGGGCACTTTCAGATTCGATCGTGTGCAGAACCCACCGGCTATGTTTGCTTACATGCGCCGGTCAGCTGTATCCTTGGTGGTTTATACCCCCCCCCCCCCCGCACCCGGGCGCGAAGAAACGCTACCTATCAATCTACCCACCGATCGGCATTTCGGCCATATCACTGATCGATGCTTCTGAGACGACAGAAATAAAGCTAAGAGACATCCCTGCTAAACGTAACGTAGCTGATGATGCATTCATTGGTCATGTTTTGAAAAAAAAAATTTGCTTCAGGTCGTATCAGGTCACTTGGCCACAGCGCCGATTTTTTAGCGCTTGCAGAACATTTTTGCGCCGCATACCAGTTGTTCACATTCCAAAGCCAGTAAAGGACACCTTTGAGCACGAAATGGGTAAATAATGGCGGCCTGTCGCCATGCAGGTTACCTTTGACGTGACAGTGGCCCTTGCAATTTTAGCTGATATTAATCACACGTGAATAATTTATTTGACCCTTGCTTAGGTCCACGCCTTCTTGCTCTGATTCCGATTTTCAACATGTTGTTATGCCTATTTGGTTGGAAAAGTGTTATGCTATATAATTGAAAGTTTTGGTTGTTGCTCCATGTGCCAGCACATTAGGGATGGCCTTACTTGCCGGGTCAGCAGTTGAGGTTACCGAAGTTACGGGCATAGTTGAATCCTTAGACACCAGACCATTCACCGGTGTTTGCTTCCCGGCTCAAACTTAATTTGAGATTAAATGGCGAGAACGGTGTACATACCTCCATTCCCCCTCCAGCGTTGCGAATCAAAATAGCCCCCCCCCCCCTCTCGAAATACGGTTTAATAAGCAGCAATCGCAGTTATTGTCCTTGCGAACAGCGGCAATATCGGGCTTGTGAACTCCGGTACGTGTGTGTAGATCACACACGTACCGGTGTGTGTAGATCAAATGACACATTTGATCTACACGTATAACATGTGTGACGTATAACGCATGTGAAGGATAATGTACGTGGTGTTTGACGTGCGTGGCATATGACGTATGTGACGTGTGACATATGTAACATTTGGCTGTATAACGTATGCCGGTGTGATGCATGACTGTGTGACGTATGGTGACGTATGACATATATGGCGCAGGGCATATGTGACATATGGCGTGTGTGGTGCCTGCCATGTGGAACGTATGGCGCGTGTGACGTATGTCATATGGCATATGTGGCATGACGTATGACATGTGTGACATATGACATGTATGACGTATGACGTATATGATGTATGACGTATGACGTGTATGCCGTATGGCACGTATAACTTATGACGTACGGCGTGCGTGACGAATGATGGGTGTGACGTATGGCACATGACGCGTGCCAGCCTGAGCTGGGATCGGGGCGGTGGCGTACCACTGTTTGGAGACCCAGACGTCGGGCGCGGCCGCCAGTCCTCCCGTCTTCCTGACATTGATCGGCGGCTGGAACAACGCCAGGAGCGTGTCCTGGTCCTGCGTCAGGGCCCTCGCCTCCTGCCGATATCAGAGCCATGCGTGACGTCAGAGCCAGCCGTGACGTCAGACGTGATCATGCGTGACGTCAGAGACGCGGGTGTGACGGGAGGCCAGTCACAAGCGACGGCGGCTAGATGTGACGTCACTCAGAGGTGATGTCAGATACAGGCGATGGGCGAACGAGTGGAGCAAGGTCGCCCATTGGTGGGAAGTGACGTCATGACCACCGATGACCTGGGAAAGGCGAGTGTGGCACGGGTCAGTCATTTGGCGAGAGGTAACGTCATGGCCACCGTTGACACAGCAGAGGCACCTTAAACGCTCGTGGGACGGGGGGGGTCATCAAAGCACGTCATCAGGTTGTCAGAGGCTGCTTTTAAATCACTGAGAGCATGGTGGTAGACTTGCTCTGCCTGAGTGGCCAACATGCCTACACATTATGTGAGACAAGGAAGAGTTTTCCTATCACAGGTGACGGCTGCTGTACGTTTTTTCGAGCTCACGTCGCGGTCAGGTCGACCACATTTCGCGTCCAGAGGCCTGATAACGCAGCTGGGTGATAGAGACGCTCGGCAACGTTGCCAGAGACACAGCCAAGGTTTTCCTAGGCGCCAGGGGTGCTTTCTCCGTGAGCAAGCACCGCGCCGCTTTTTAGCGTTTTGTCGGGAGCCACCAATGGTGAAAAAGGAAAAATGCGGGACTTAATGGAAATCATCCCCCCCCCCCCCTATCGGCTGCGCCCGTGGTAGAGCCGGCAGAAGCTGTCGTGGGAAAGAGCCGTTGTCGATGCCCAGCATTAGCTCATATGTCATAGTCGGATATGCGTCACGAGACCCCAGACACCAGATCGCGTCTTGCCCAAGCAACGGCAATGCAAACTAGACAAAAGCCTATAGATAGGCCGATGAGGCTAGATAACGCCATCAAACGGTTTACCAAAAGAGAGACGTGCGAGACATCAGGCACTGACGTGTTACTTACGTCTTGGGGCCACCGACGGCTTGAATTTCGACTACGTTGCCTGCTATTGACCTGCTCCGTTGTGCAGCTTGAGCAAAAACACCGCGACTACGTCTCGTTACACAAGCCTTCGCTCTTTGTCGCACTGGACATTAAGCAACACATTGAGCCACACCTGCATAATGAATGGGTTACTGTTGGAGTTATAGTCACGTATATGTGGATGTACAACTTCACAGATGGAGAAGGGTGAAAAAGTCGCCGTGGTAAAGCGGACGGGGCCAGTACATTGCGAAGATAAAACTAACATGTCAGAAATATGTCAGCTTTGATGAAGGCTGCTGTGACTGCTACCGCGCCTGTCCTTTTAACCGCGATAGTCCGGTTATGTGTAGGTGAATTGTGGGAAAAAACCGGAGTGGTAGCAAACACAGACCAATGGCCATCGGGAGGCAGAAGAATAAAGTGAGCCTATGGGTTCGCTATCATAACCCAAAGTGCATCTTGTTGTTTTCCAGGCCAGTTACGTTAACGCCAGTGCCGCGCCAGCAAAGCACTCACTGGGGCGCCGATAGCATAGTGGTTAAGTTGCGCGTCTGGGAAATCAGGGGTACGGCGTTCGGTTCTCCGCGGTGCATGCCTGCACTGCCAGGGTGAGTGACAGGCGACGCCACACAACCTCAGCAGCTGAGTGCGTCACAAAGCCCAAATATGAAGACGCCGACGAAGCCCTCACTGCCACCACCACTCCAGACCTAACCAGCACCCTGGATGCGGCCAAAGGCTCGCTCCAGCTCGAGGCACAGCGCCCCCACTCGCCTTGTCAGAGAATATCTCGCGCTCCTTGTAGATGTAGGAGCCGGCGCCCATCGGAGCCAGCACGTTGCGCCCGCGCTGCTGGTGCAGCTGACCGCGCAGCTTCTCCACGTGCACGTCGCCGCTCTTGGTGATGAAGCCGAAGCACGAGGCCTTCGTGTTGAGGTACTTGTACTTCATGAAGGTGTTGTCCTCGCAGAACTGACCCTTCAGGTCGGAGTACGGGCAGAAGCACTCGCAGCTCACCGGGTCCTCCGGTCGGTTGTTCAGGTCGATCAGCGGGCTTGACGCGATGAAGCCCATGTTCTTGCAGACGCCGTCCTTCTTGAAGCACTTGGCATTGGAGCCGCAGGTGAAGAAGAGCCGCATGCGGTAGAGGTCGTTGCCCGTCAGCTGCAGGCGGAAGTCGCTGCCGTACTTGGAGCGGTCCAGCCGCACCTGCTCGTAGATCTCCTTGGTGACAGTCACCGGACGCGGATCGAGCGGGTTCGAGTACTGGAACGTCTCCGGCACCAGCACCGAGCCGTAGTCGAAGATGCCCGTGCTGAAGGTGGCCGTCTTCATCTGGTACACCTCCTCCGAGGTCTTGCGGCAGTGGTCGAGGTCCTCGAGCAGCACGGGGTACTCGTCGCGCCACTGGTCGCTCTCGAAGTAGCGCTCCGAGAGGCCGATCTCGACGTTCTCGAAGTTGACGGTGACGTGCTCGTTGCGGTCCGGCTCCTGGATCGGGCTGCGCGCGCCCAGCGACCGCGCCACGAACGCGTGGATTTTGCCCGGACCGCAGCTCCGGAGGTCGTCCATCGAGATGACGTTCATCTTGTACTCCTCGTTGTAGATCATCGCGCAACCAAACTGGTCGGTGATGCATGTTGATCCCTTGAAGTTTATGCCGTTGGTTCCTTTGGTCAGACTTGGGTCGTCGGGAGGACATTTGATGGGCTTGTCCAGTGCCAGATCCTTCATGTTGTAACATGGAACGTGCAAAAACCACTCATCGATTACTTGCTGAAATAAATACTTCTTGTAAACTGCAAGATTTACATCAACATAGTACCTATACACGAATGATTTCACACCATCATCGTACATTGGACAAATGTCTGGAATAGTAAGATCCATGTAAGGTTTTATATCGGCATATGGTATTTGGGAACCATACGTCTTGCCCTTTTTCACCGCCGCCCACATTTCATTGAAGTCCTTTAAGCTGTTTGATAGATCCTCGGGTGCCCCATCGATTGGATAAAACACGCACAAAATGAAAACCGCGGCCACCAGCGTAGTTTCTACACGGGGGCTTTTCTTCCTCATGATCTCTACGTCAATTTACTTTCTTTACATAATGCAACACACTAAAATAAAAAGTTTCGCCTGACTTATGAACTGAACGAACTGCACAGGAATGAAGGTACACAAATTTTACAATGCCTGCTCGTTTTCTTTCGTTGGCACTTGATAATGATATGGTAGGCACTTTCATCACGGCGTTAAAAAGTCAGTACCAAAAGCCTCATTCCTCGTAGCAAAATCAGGACAGTGGAAAGATAGATGTGTTGATTTTTCGGTAACATGCCCGACCGAAACAATTACCAGTAGTTATATTATACCAGTTTTGGGAAAGGCGTGTTGCCGAAACATCCACGCATCCAGCTCTTCATTCTCCTGGTTTTTCTACGAGGAATCAGGCTATTACTACTGTCGCATCTTTACACCATGTTCCTCGCAAATGCACTTAACAGCTTATGTGTTGAAAAATCGGTAATTGCGCTTTGCAGAGATGGGGAACGAGGCATGAATGGCATACATATAAGCGAATATTATCAAGTTGAGTACGTAGCATAGACTAATCCATGCGAACTAATTTTTTGCGGCATGTTCGTCGCGAATTCTTTGAAAATAATTGCCTTTAAGTGAATGGTCCACATTTGATGATATTCAGGCAAGCATCAGATACGATGAAATAAGCTTACCTGTGACTTTTGCTATACTTTAAGTGGAAAAGATTGCTCTAGACAACGTTTTTCTTTTCAGTAGCTATCCTCCTCAACACATTATTGTTTTATTGCTTCGTGGAACGTATGTATGACTTTTGAGGTGTTACCGAACTGGCCGTGCGAAATTGCCACCCTAGCAGGCGTTTACTTGAAGTACTTCAATATCCCGAAAGGTGGCCGTAGCGGTGCTGGGTGTGTTTGCTGAACCAAATATCGTAATGCGCTCGTGTTTGGCCCTTTTTGGTGGTATTCTTGTATATTCATCCGTGAGCTTAAGGTGTTACTTGTGTTCACACACTCGGTTATGGCGCTATTCTCAAGTTATTCGATTACAAGTCTATCTTTGTATTATCTTGCGCCTGTGTTCAACCTCTGGTATTTTGTAGCACAAAACGTGAAGAAATTTGCACAACCCGCATAACACTGGCTGCGACTTAATTGACATCCGCTATATCTGCATATCGTGCTCACAACACCAGATATGAACGACTCGACGATTTTATTTTTATCGATCTTGATCGTGATATGGCTAATGGGGTGGCAAGATCTGAATGGCGCAAGGCCATGTAATAAGGTATGATCATCCAGGGATTTTACCGGCACTTTTCCTTCACCATTACAGTGACGTCACAAAGTCACAGCCTGGCATCACCGTCAGCATCACCTTCGCGTCTGCTACACCGGTGCACCTACTAACAAATGCATCTGGCGATCGCCACAGGGCACTTCAAGAAGTACTATGAGGAAATATAACAGGGTATTTTTGTCACGCCTGTTGTAAAACAGCGAAGATAGGCCTAGGAACTACGAACATATGTGTCATGGCACTCCCAGTTGCTGAGGATGCCAAACATTGAGTCTATGGCGATGCATTGAAGTCGGCCAGCCTACAGCTGCTTAAATGCAGGTTAGCGAACCTACCCAAGGTCCAGCCACTGCCAAAACGAGAACTGAGCGGCACCAGGATCATCATCCGACCTGTCGCGTTGAGCCTCAGCATTATGCATAATAGCGCGCTGGGTTGCACTGGTGTGCGATTGAGGCAGTTTGAGACGACGGAAGTAGTATGCTGCCTGGTAGAACATAGGACATTGTGGACATTGCACATTGCGTCAACTATTCCAAGAAACCTCTGAAGGTCGTGGCGCATGGCGTTAACCAAGATGATATCCGTCACGCCATGCAGCCAATTTATCGAACACGCGTATGACCCAGAATTCGCTGTATTTTACTAAAGCGATTCTTGCACCCAGCATACACTTCATTGTGCACACTTGGCGACGACCCAAAATAAACAGGGGGAACGGAGAACACAGCTATAGACAACACAGCATAAGTCCGGAGTTACGCGACATGATAACCAGTCTGAAACAACCCAAAAGTTTATGTGCGAAGGAACCGTCTATGCCTCAGACAGACACACAAGCATGCAAGACAAAAAAGGCAAAACGATGCTTATTTAAGCTCAATTTCATATGCTCATATAAGCAGCTGTCCACCTGATGTCGCACCTGTTTATCTGCGCGCCTGGCAGCAGCTCGCTCAGCCCCAGCCTGATTAAGCCATCTGAGGTGCAGATGGATGCGCGTCCTCACCAGCTTCCGAGCAATCCGCTTGTCCAGCGCAGAACCTTCTCGCCAGGAGCTTTGTGGGCGGTCCAAGATGCCCATGTCTTGGTCCATGCCTCAGTCCATCACTAGTTGGAATACAATCCCCAAAGCCTCGACAACGTTCGTCCAGGCCGGCAAAGGCACCAACAGACCACCCTGTCTAATCGTCTGTATCCAGCTGTCTGGCACACAGCTGGGTGGTGCCTCTCGGGCCGACATTCCCATACTTGGATCGAGGTGTTTGCACTTGGCCGCCACAAAGCCCACAACGGAGGCCAGCACCTCGTGCTCGATGTGTGTGTCCTAGTCCATCTCGTCGCCACAGCGGGGGCCATTTTCGGTCCTCTCGACGTCACCGCCATGGAGCTTGCCTTTGCCCGACTCGCTGAACCCGCCGTTCTCGTCCACTTTGTTCAGGACGGGCATTGGAGGCATCGCAGCTGCTTGCTGGTAGGCGGCCTCCACGTCGTCCGTATGCGTTGCCGCTTCCCGCACAGCTGGATCGTGGATCTGTGACACAAAGAAACAGTCACTTCCGTGCACCTATCAGGCGCATTAATCAGACCATTTACAAATCACCAGTTTTGTTTTTCATTGCGACAACAAAACGTCTTGGACCCGAACATGCCCATTCTTTCCTTATGGCACGCTTGTTTTTATGCACAGTCACTTTTTTGTGGTCCAGCGTGACATAATCCGAGCGGGTAAGGGGGACGGTCAACGGCCGACGAGTACTGCACTGCCTGCACCACTCTAATGCCTCCCGCTCCTGGCCATAACCACGGATCTGTCTGTATGGACCCCTTTTATAGTTCCATTTCATTGCATCGGCTGCCCCAGGGGGGTGGCGCCGCCATTTTTGTTTTTCGATGCAAAAATGCACGAGAACAGTACGACCCTCCGAGGCTCCAGCCCCCCCCCCCCCCCCCCTGCGCCTCCATTCGTCTCTGCCCGTGGGGTTCAGGGCCTATGGTTTAGGCACAGCAGCGGTTTTTACCGCGGTATTACTGTATGTAATCCCGGAGTTTGGTGACCAGGCAGACACTACCATAAACAGTAACACGAAGAGCCCAAAAGGGGTTCATAAGTAACAAGACTCGCAGAAAGCCGAGTGCACATGTACGGTATGCAGGTGAAAGAGCTGCTTAAGGCACCAGGGTAAACCAATATTAGAAGTTCATTGATGCACTAGGTACTGTACCTATTAACGGTTGTGGGGGTTGTTGGTCAGTTCACAGTGCGTAGATGTACTGTCAATGGGGCTGGGACTCGCTCGTGGAAACTTACCCTCCCCCCGCCACAAACCCTGGCTACGTCCCGACCCTCACCCCCCTTCGCCCGTGTAGCATGGGTGACTGTGCCACTTGTGTGATAGTCAGGCCCCACTTTGTAAACAAGATTATGGCCGGAAAATCTCGCTTGAATCTCGTATTGTAGCCTACAAACTGCACAGAGCGGCATGGGTTATGCATGCATTAGTGACTGATTCGGGTTCAAAAATTTCTGCATAAAGCAGACAGGAATTTTCCTTTTAAGCACACGCATACCCACTTCAGCGTACCGGCGATGTCCAGTCGCATAGAAGGAACTGCACTTGGTCGAAGGCATGATTTAACATTGGATATGAGACTGGCCTTAACCAGATGGCCAGGATCATAGTCATAATCCTGAAAATGCTCAGATCAGATTACCGCATTCTCCGCATTTATAGTGTTAGTCCATGAGCAACGGTGGTCACGTTTTCAGGACAGTTGGATCGTTTTTTTTTGGAAAAGTAACAAAAATGTCTTTCTTGTGCCGTTTCACATTCTTGCAAGCGATCACTTCACAGGATCGCATGTCGCTACCAAAAAAAACTGCCTTTGATGCTCACTTCTGTCCTACGCTCACACATCGCTCCAAAATTCTCTCATCCGCGGCATAATAGCACGCACTGACGCCACACAACAATACAGACTTGATGCTACACTGCACGATAATCACGATATTACATTTGATACATTACATTTGTATTACACGGCTTTGACGATGATAGACAAAGCCAACCACAGCATTTCTGCGCGACGACTGCTTTCCAAGCGACGAAGTCGACGTTTTTATGGAACGCCGATGCGCAAGCCATTGAGACTTTGTGACGTCACCGCTCAACATTAACGAAGCGCCAGCCCGACCAATTTCTCAACCTGCGATGATGGCTCCCTGGAATAGCGTTATTATCGCGACGCGGATGCCTGGGAGATCTTGAAATAGTCTCCCCGAGATATTCTGCAAAAAAGTCTGTGGGCGTGTAGTTCAGAAGTTAGAGGGTTTTAGGTCTTGAGAAAGACAGGGCTATGAACTGCTCCAAATGGTCTTCAAGATGGCTGCTTCAATTCAAAACCCCACACGATTGCAGAACACTCCTTTTAAGATGTTTGCGATTAGGGCAACGAGAATACGAATATCTGAAACATCACATCAGAAGACATTACTTTAAAACAGCATATATATGTAGACGACAAACTACGCAACAGCTTCATGCTGCACTGCGTCCTTTGATAGTTAAATTTTACACAAATTCAGCTTTATAAAACAGACGTAATCCGCAACCCTTGACGCAGCTACGTGTTGCATGCAAACGTAGCGGGCGGACAGTAAACATTCGATGGGCAATATGGAGACGCAGCTTGCGGCTTTTTACGTGGGCAATGCTAGCCGTTTGACACAAAAGGGGCACGAAGGGAGCGCCGTCCCCTTTCTTCCGTACCCTTTGAGGAGTCGGGGGGGGGGGGGGGGGGGGCGCTCTAGGCACTTGAAGAACGTCCAAACTTACGGACAGTTTTTTTTCGAGAATTTGGAACGCAGCAATGCTGAACAAGTAAGATCTAAGGCTTCTGGATCCATACCCCCGGATCTGGCCCCCAGGACCCCTGAACCCCTGGATAGGCTAGGAAATCATTGCTGATCTGGAATTTGGCGCCTGAGCAAAAACAGAGTGGGCTGAAAAACGCCGAAAACCGGTCCTTGAGTCCATGGCAAACCCGGGGCTCCCGCTAGGGTCGTGGAATCCGTCTGACAAAATTATCATTGCCACTTACTCCATTGTGCGAAAACCTGGCTAGGTGCCAGGTGCCTGGCATGGCTTATGACATAACATGACATGACATGACTCTTTTTGGCATGTTGAGAGGCTCTGGAACGATTGTAAAAGGCATGTATTAGACTCAAAGCTGTGCGTTTTTCATGTGTACGGTTAGCACAGTTTTAGATCGACCAATGCGTGTTTAAAATACCCTTTGTGCGTGCGTGTTTACATGCGTGTTTAACATACACATAGCCATATACTTTGTGTACGCGCTTCCGTCTTTCGTCATACAGGCTCAAACAAGATTTTGTGTCAAAAGTTTTGGTTACTTATGACGTCAATAACACCAGCGTTGTGTTCTAAAGCATGTCAACGAGGCTCAAAAAAGTACCCTCTGCTTCATGAAAACGGAGCTTCAGCTCTCTACGGCTTTGTTCTCAACCTCATTCTTGGTTTGTACAGAGTTGTTTCTGAAGCGGCTCGCTCCGCTTTTCAGACGGGCTTGTCAATGTCGGGGCAGATATGACCCGAAATTATAGGCTGACATTCTAAGCCGCTTGTTTCAAACGACGACCAGTGCTTTGAAACGCTGCGCGCACTCGTGCCGTTAAAAAGCTCCGTATTTCTTCTGTGAAAATCGGGTTACAGTGTGGCACATGCACAACATATCGTGTATAACACAACATAGCATATATAACATGCTATGGCATGTAACATAACAAAAGTATAGAATCGCAACAAAAAAAAAACGCAGAGGAAAATGACTAAGTGATCGCAATGTCTCACAATTGGATCGACTGTCAGCAGGAATTATCACTGAAATCAGCCTTTCCGTCACGCACGTTTTTATGGAAATGAGCATCTTCACCGCATGGTGCGGTGATAAATCCCTGTCAGATAACCACATGTGGTGTCTGCTCTCTCGCTCAAACGCATATAATAATCGATAAATCGGGAGGTCAGGCTAACGGGGGTCAGGCCAAGGGGTTCAGGTCACAGGATTCAGGTCACGAGGATCAGGTCACGGGGTTCAGGTCACGGGGCCAGATTACTGGGGCCAGGTCGTGGGGGTCAGGTCATGGGGTTCAAGTTACAGGGCTCAGGTCACGGGGGTCAGGTCACGAGGTTCAGGTCACAGGGATCAGGTCACAGGGATCAGGTCACGGGGTTCAGGTCACGGGGCTAGATCACTGGGGCCAGGTCACGGGGGTCAGGTCACGGGGATCAGGTCATGGGGTCAGGTCATGGAGTCCAGTTCACGCGGCCAGGTCACCGGGGTCAGGTTATTGGGTCAGGTTATGGGGGTCAGTTCATTGGGTCAGGTCACGGTAGCCAGGTCGCGGAGGTCAAGTTATGAGGTCATGTCAAGGATATCGGGTCACGGTGGTCAGGTCACGGGGTCAGGTCACGGGGTCATGTCATGGGTATCAAGTCACAGGGGCCAGGTTAGTTCAATACGGTCAGTGTTGCACCGTCTAGTTATTTTACTTTGTGACACTTCACTGGATGCTGCTACCATTTGCACTCGCTGTCCTGCAAAAGCGTGCATGAGTACAACTTCACACAGCGCCGTAGCACGCTTCCCTATGGCGCGCATCCAAGCGAAACCCAGACAACTTCAGCCGGCCGTGCTCGCGACCATCGTCACCGCGTGGCCACCGGCCGCTGCAGCTGCCCACGTCGACGCTCAGCGGACCCGCTCACCAGCGGCAGTGCCCCATAACCCGCTGCGTGACATCAGCATGTCAGCACGCGATGTGGCGGCGGGAGCGGCGGGAGTGGCGGGAGCGGCCCCTTCCGCCCGGCGTTATGTGCTGAGTACAGACGACTTTTAGTCCCCGCTTCCCTGCGTTTGCGGTGGAGGGGCTTTGCATAGCTGTGGTGGGCGTAGCCTCTGTGTGTTCTTGCAGCAGGCTAAAACGTTTCCACGTAGGAGAAATATCGATTGCCGATGCACACGTCGCGAGGGGTCCACCTAGTCCGGTCCATCCACCCGCCTTGTCGTGGGTGGTCATTGTCCGGTCCTACACACCCATCTTGTCCGGGTAGTCATTGCCTGGTCCTTCCCGGCCACCTTGTTGGCGCGGTCATTGCCTGGTCCTTCCCCGCTCGCCTTGCCTGCAGCGCTTGCATTCAGCCAGCACACTCATCTGCCACTGTGCCACGAGATTCCGCAGCCCTGTTCGCGCTTCTTCCGCGCTGGGGCGCTCCTCACGCAGCGGACCTCCGTGAGGCGCGAGGCACAGCTCTGGCTGGGCAGGACTGGCCGGCCTCACACCACACCAGCAGTGGACCTCCGTGGAGCGCGAGGCACAGCTCTGGCTGGGCAGGACTGGCCGGCCTCACACCACACCAGCAGCGGACCTCCGTGAAGAGCGAGGCACAGCTCTGACTAGGCGGGACTGGCCAGTCTCCACACGGTCTCCACACCACACCACACCAGTCAGGGTAGCAGCGCTTTATTTCCGGACAACGGGTGCAAGACAGAGATCAAGTCACGGACGAGTGGGGCAAAAACGTCACGCCTCGGTGGTTGACATCACTCACTGGGCGTTGCCGGCGCGCTCCGACCGCATCCCGTGCGTCAGCGTCACGCCTGGCCAGCCCCGTCCCCGGCGCCGGCCACGTCTCGCGCCCTCCAGTCGTGCCCAGCCGGAGCCGGAGCCAAAGCCGGCACCGGAACTGGCCGTCAGCCGGAGCTGGCCGCCGGCCGGAGCCAGAGCCGGAGCCAGAGCCAGAGCCAGAGCCGGAGCCGGAGCTGGCCGCCAGCCGACGCCCCTCTGGAGGCCGGGGACCGGACGGCGCAAGACTGCGGCACTCAGCCCCCGCGGCTCCCCGCACCCACGTGGCATCCTGGTAGAGTCTCACCTAGCCAGCGTGAGGGCAGTGATGACGCTAATGACATCGATATTCATGATCATGATAATGATGTAACAGATGAAAATTTCACGTGACCAGGGCGATGGCGATGATGGACGTGGTAATCATAATAGCGAAGGAGCTGACGACCCTTCCCAAGCGGGGCGAGGGCGATGATAATAATCGTCATCACAATAATAAAGCAGGACATCCCAACTCAATAGCACGGCACCTCAACCACACCGCTACACAACGCCCACACATAGAACACCCCGCCGACGGCGACGAAGCCAAGCCTCCTCCTCCACAGACGGCTCCAGCCGGCCGTCACCAACCACCGCCCGCCGCCGCCCACCACTCCTGGAGCGCCGGGCCCGCTGGCCGCCCCGCCGCGCGCCCCGTCACTTGGCTCTGGCGGCCGGCGCCAGGCCGTGCACAGTCCTGTTGTGCACCTTCAGCGCGCTGGTGGTGAGGAAGCCGCGGTCGCACGGCCCGCACCGGTGCGGCCGCTTGTCCGTGTGCACCCACTCGTGCGTGCGCAGGTTACTCTTGTCCCGGAACTGCTTGCCGCACACCTGGGGTCAGGTCACGGGGGTCAGGTCACGGGGGTCAGGTCACGGGGGTCAGGTCACGGGGTCAGGTCACGGGGGTCAGGTCACGGGGGTCAGGTCACGGGGGTCAGATCAACTGGGTAAGGTCACGGGGTCCGGACGCGGGGATGAGGTCACGGGATGAGGTCACGAGGTCAGGTCACGGAGTCAAGTCATGAGGTCAAGTCACGGTGGTCAGGCCACAGGGATAAGAAAATGAGGGTCAGGGAACGGGGATCCGGTCGAGGGGATTAGCACAGGGGGCGCGAACCACACCTTGCGTCGCCCGGGAGTGCCAAGGCGGCCAGGTCATCACAGGTCGCGGGGCGCTGCCAGGAGACAGTCGGGGCCGTTGGGTTGTCAGTGACGTCATATGAGGTCATCCAGTGACGGCCCCCACAGATCAGGTAAAGTCAGGTGAGGTCATGCGAGGTCAGATGGGTCAGGCGGGGCGAGCTGGGGGTCAGATGAGGTTAAGTGGGGTCACATGAGGTCAGGTGGTCGGGTGTGGCCTTAAACATGGCGAACACAGCACATGTTGGCACAGACTCTCCTGACCGGTTCAGACGAATCAGACGCTGTTGGCAGCACAGGCGCCAGAACCTGCGCACCCTCACCACAACAGATCTAGACATGCCCGACACCCCCTTTTGTCAGTGACGCCTGTATGACACCTTGCATGTGGCATCTGTACGCAAGCCGAACGATGGCACTGGCCGGGAAGCCGTGCCGATCGAGCCAGCCCCAGCTCAGCACCAGCACCAGCACCAGCACCAGCACCAGCATCAGCACCAGCACCATCACCATCACCAGCCGCTCGGGGGGCACTCTCACCCCGCACATGAAGGGCTTCTCGTCCGTGTGTGTGCGCATGTGGCCCTTGAACACGGAGCTCGACACGAACCTCTTGCCGCACACGTTACACACGAACGGCTTGTCGTCGTTGTGGCCTGCGGGCGAACGGCGTCAGTGACGGCCGGGGCGGAGCGCTGCAGCACGGAATGGCAGGCCCGGGTTCGATTCCCACCCGCGGCACGTTTCGTCGCACAGCGCACGGGGGGGGGGGGGAGGGGGCTTGACGTTAATGTCTGCGTCCTGGGACCCTTATGTGACATTTTTCGTCCTGATCGTTTGCACATCCTTCCCCTTGCCCTTTCCCATACCTACGTCTCTGCCTTCGGACATCCTTTCTATCTCTGCTCCTTCCCACCAGAACGCTCATCGTCCCGGCCCGTCACCCTCCCCTGCTACCATGACCCCAACCCACTCCCCCGCCTCTGCTCTCCTTCCCCGTCCTCTCGCCTCCGTTCTCCTTCCCCACTCTTTCGCCTCCATTCTCCCCCCCCCCCCAACTCCCCCGCCTCCGTTCTTCCCCATTCCCCGCCCCATTGCCCTCCCCCCACTCCCCGCCTCCGTCCTCCCCCCCCCCGCCCCCGCCTCCGCTGCCGCGGCTACTCACGCCGCAGGTGGCTGGTCAGGTGGGAGGACCAGCGGAACGTCTGGCCGCAGATGTGACAGTTCAGCGGCCGCTCGCCCGTGTGAGTCTGCCAGACACACAGATCCCGGGTCAGACCTCGGTTTGGACCTCGGGTCAGATCTCGGGTCAGGTCCCGGGTCAGACCTCGGGTCAGACCTCGGGTCAGATCTCGGGTCAGGTCCCGGGTTAGACCTCAGGCCAGACCTCGGGTCAGACCTCAGGTCAGACGTCAGGTCAGACCTCGGATCAGACCTCAGACCTCGGATCCCGCCTGCCCGCGCATCGACGGCCGCACCGTCCGCGGCCATCTGTCAGTCAGTCGTCAGCCGCGGCCCGATGGCAGCCAGCAGCGGGCATCAAAGTCAATGTGCGGGCAAACAGAACCGTGACGTCATTCCTGACCCTCGCCGAGGCACCGCTCAACGGGCGCGGGGCCTAATCTCAGCGTCCAAGCGGTTCTTCCTGTCACACAACCGTCACAAGCCTACTAACCGCGCATTATGAATAGTGCCGGGGAAACCCCGATGACGCCACGCAACGGTCGCCCAGCGGAGCGCAGAGATGCCTTCTTCGCCGCGGAGGATCTCAGGCGCCGCGCTCAAGAACCGCGCGGGGAGCCCCAGTGAGAACTCGGGGAGAACCCGAGGAGAAACCGCGCAGCACCCCGATAAAACCTAGGGAGAATCCTGGGAGAACACCGATGAAAACCAGAGGAGAACCCGCGGAGAACCCGAAAACTAGCGAAGAACTCCGCGGAGAACCCGATGACGGGCCCGTCGAAAAACCGCGGACAACCCCGATGAGGACCCGGGAGACTCCGAGGAGAACCCGACGAGAACCCAAGGAGAATCGAAGCAAAATCCCGCGGAGAACCCGCTAAGAGCCCCGAAGACCTCGATCGCCCAGTGCGACCCTAACGCACCTGCAGATGCTTGGTCAGGTGTCCCTGCCAGGCGAACGTCTTGCCGCAGATGTGGCACGCGTGGCTGTGGTCGTACACGTACTTGACCTTGCTGCGCGCCGGGTCCCGGGGGTCCGGCACTACCACCTTGACGCGGGCCTTGGAGCCCTGGGGGCGGCGGCCGGCGCCCGGCGTCAGGGGCGGGGGAGGCGGCGCAGGAGAGCGCTGGCTGGTGTGTACATGATGGCGATAATAACACGTGATGATACGAGGCTGGGATATCCGAGGATACCCGATCTATACACCCAGGCTGGCACGAGACACAGACTAGCGGACAAGCGACAACATTTTTAATGTTTTCCATTTCCCACCCAGTCTGGCCCTTTTCACACGTCACCGACCACCATCACTGGCGTTCTTTTTTCCCCCGTCACCACTGACCGTTTTCTTTTTGCGGGCGGCCGACTCGGCTTTTGACGTGGCCAACGCCACGTAGAGGTCATCGGTCGGGTCATCAGGGTCAGCCAGGTCACCGGTGATGACGCTGGGCGACGGCGACGACGCCCGACTGCCAACAACGACCAAGGTCATGTCAGGTCACGAGGGTCGCGCCGGCCAGTTCGGGTCGCGCCCGCCCGCGAGCCCACACACGGACGGCTGGTGACACAAGGCCAGGGCATAAGGTCATCTGACAGCGCACAAGGTCATCTGACAGCGCACGTTATGACAGCGTCCAAGGTCATCTGACAGCGTCCAAGGCCATATGACAGCGCGCAAGGTCAGGCGTTTCGCATCAGACCAGATTGGTACCAATCCTCGACCCCACCGCCACGGGGCCTCAGCCGGTTCGCCCAACCCCGTCCCGCCCCGCTCACCTGCCGCCGCGTTCCTCCGGCCACTCCTCCGTGACGTCACAGTCAGCTGACGGCGGCTCGGGCGGAGCGGCGGTCGACTTGGCCTCCTCCTCTTCTGCAACAGGGCGGCGGTGAGCGGTGACCATGTGGCCGCGGTCAGTCCGAGCCATGTACACATGCGTTCGTGAGCGGGTCCACGGCAGGTCCACAGCAGGTCCACAGCCGCTGTGGTGGAGAGGCGACCCCACACAGGTCCGTCTCAGAAGGTCGCATGGTCCACAGCAGGTCCACAGCGGGTCCACAGCAGGTCCACAGCAGGTCCACAGCCGCTGTGGTGGAGAGGCGACCCCCGCACAGGTCCGTCTCAGAAGGTCGCATGGTCCACAGCAGGTCCACAGCAGGTCCACAGCAGGTCCACAGCAGGTCCACAGCCGCTGTAGTGGAGAGGCGACCCCACACAGGTCCGTCTCAGAAGGTCGCATGGTCCACAGCAGGTCCACAGCGGGTCCACAGCAGGTCCACAGCAGGTCCACAGCCGCTGTAGTGGAGAGGCGACCCCACACAGGTCCGTCTCAGAAGGTCGCATGGTCCACAGCAGGTCCACAGCGGGTCCACAGCGGGTCCACAGCCGCTGTGGTGGAGCGGCGACCCCGCACAGGTCCGTCTCAGGTCACATGCTCCAGCGCCAGTGTGGGGATCAGACCACGAGGATCTACGCGATGAGACGGGCTTTCTTCAGCACGAAGGTAAAAAGTCCAACCAAACGTTACAATTTTACCAAAAAGTGATGGGGCATGCGGATGAGGCCTGCAATAATCGCAAAGGCCTGCGTGCGCAAGGAAAATGGTCGTTTGACCCTGCACAGACACGGGTAACATGACTGATCATTTGGGCCCAGCACTGCATGACAAGGCAACCAAACCCATTGAAAGTCGTCTAGAGCAGCAGCGGAAAACAACACCGCCCCGGTGTCCCAGCGACGCAAGGCTTGCGTCGTCGCCAGGGGGTTTTGCGTGGGCCTACGCAAACCTCTCTCCGGCTCTCCACATGGGCTGGGCTGGATGAAGGGGAGCCGCCTGTGCGACAAAGGTGGCCTTCGGAGGCGGCATCTCAAGGAACGCAGGACAGGATGGATGCGGGCTCATCTGAAACCAGGACGGATGACGGTACTGACGGCCTCCAGGAGTTGTGCCTTTATTCTCATATGGCAAGCTGGACACAGCCAAACAGTGCATTTCCCATCGTTTGCTGCTCCGGCTCTCCGGGTCGGTGGCCGCTAGTGTGGCCTGAGCGCTGCGCCGACCGCCATGGCCAGCGGACGTGCCGTGCCGTGCCATGCCGTGCTGTACTGTGCCGTGCCGTGCCGTGTCAGTGTCGTGCCGTGCCAGGTCGTGCCATGCCGTGTCATGACGTACCGTGCCGTGTCCTGACGTGCCATGCCGTGTCATGCCGTGTCATGACGTGCCACGCCGTGTTATGACCTACCGTGCCGTGCCGTGCTGTACCCTGACGTGACATGCCGTGTCATGGCGTACCGTGCCGTGCCGTGCCCTGATGTGCCATGCCGTGTCATGACGTACCGTACCGTGCCGTGCCATGCCGTGTCATGACGTACCGTACCGTGCCCTGACGTGCCCTGCCGTGTCATGACGCACCGTGCCGTGTCATGACGTGCCATGTCGTGTCATGACCTACCGTGCCGTGCCGTGCCCTGACGTGACATGTCGTGTCGTGTCATGACGTGCCGTGCCGTGCCGTGCCCTGATGTGCCATGCCGTACCGCACTGTGCCGTGACTGACCTGGAGTGTGTGGCAGCGGCACGGGCCGCCAGCCGGCGTACTCGACCTTGCGCCCCAGCACGGTCCGCGTGAAACGCTGCCGCACCTGGCGGGTCAGCTGCTCGGACCGCTCCTGCAGCTCCTGGGCAGACATCGAGAACAGGGTCAGACACTGAGGAGGAGCACGGGGTAAGCTGCCTGGACCGCTCCTGCAGCTCCTGGACTAAACATCGAGAACAGGGTCAGACACTGAGGAGGAGCACGGGGTAAGCTGCCTGGACCGCCTCCTGCAGCTCCTGACTAAACATCGAGAACACGGTAAGACACTGAGGAAGGGCACGGAATCAGCTGCACGGACCGCTCCTGCAGCTCCTAAACAGGACATTGAGAGCAGGGTCAGACGCTGAGGAGGGGCACAGGGTCAGCTGCTCGTACCGCTTCTAGCGCCAGACGCACGCTACTGAACGCTGCTCTGCCTCCAGACTCCTGCTGTTGAACGCTACTCTGCTGCTGTCCGACGAGGCAAACACGCCGAGCGTCGCGACGGGAGGGTCGAAAGGCTTCCTACGCAGCGGCGGTTGGCAGCTGGTCCGGTGTTTCAATATTCAACCACTTAGGTGACGGGGATGTCAATATTTGTACATGCTATGATCTCCCCTTCCTCCGGCTTGGGATTCACTGTCTGCTGCTCCCCTCGCCATGCTCAAAATCGACTACTCAGCATCGAACCGGGCGGCGGTCAGTCCGTCATCCTAACCGCCTCAGGCTCGACAAAGCGACCGGGCTGGTGCCTTGTTTAGGTTTGTTTGGGTTTGGGGTCAGAGGGCAAGGGACTAGCACCAACAACATGCGTGCAAAGCCACCACAGAACCTGAATTCTGGCACCATGGTTTTCTGATTACACCCCGAACACCGTGCTGGATGGAATTTCGGACCCCTGTGCCGATCCGTCTCATTCCACGCACCGCTGACCCGCTCAGAGACCGGAGCTGACACCGGCGGCTCACCAGAGACCGGAGCTCACCGGCGGCCGGGCGGTCACGACAATCTGAACACGGACGCCGGCGTCGGGCCGCCACGCCGCGCCCGCGCGCCCGCTTCGAGTCTCCCTTCCCACGACTGACGTCGGCCGCCGACCCCCGGCCTTTGCCGGCCGCTGCGACCGACCGACCAACCAACCGACCCTCCGATCGACCGACCGATCGACCAACCCACCTTCCGATCGACCGACCGACCAACCGACCTTCCGATCGACCGACCGACCGACCGACCGACTAACCGACCTTGCCACCAACGACCCACCAACCTTGAGCCGGAAGTCGACGTCGTCGGCCTCCTCCAGCAGTTTGAGGCAGGCCAGGCAGATGGCGTCGCTGTGAAGGCGCTCGGCCGGCAGCGGGCAGTCCAGCAGGCACTCCAGCTTGACGCACACCGGCGTCTTGGAGCCCGACAGGATGTTGGTCTCGCCGAATATCTCGATCATGCCGCGCGCCGCCGGCGAGTCGCACAGGAAGCACAGCACCTCGCCGCTCCTGGCGGCCGGGTCAGGTCAGGTCAGGTCAGCTGACGGTCGGGTCGTGTCAGGTGACGATCGGGTCAGGTCAGGTGATGGTCAGGTGGCATGCGGAGTGGTAGGGTGAAGTGAGGTGAGGTGAAGCTGGGTGAGCTGGGGCCAGGGAGGCGTGGTGATACCAGGCGAGGACGAGGCGACAGCGAAGTGAGGCGAGATGGCGTCAGGTAATACGAACAAAAATCACATTAGTTCAGGACTAACCCAGTTAACATTAGATGCGCTGAAGTCAACACAATTCCTTCATAGCCGCAGCAACGCTAGATACTGAAAATCAATTGCATAGTACTTTTGCATCAATTCCTCTCACACCGTGTTAGGCGTCTGCCCACGCTCTAGCGCAGAGGCGGCAGCTCAGAGGTTGGAACGGCATGCCACATGATTCATCATTTTACTGAGCGAATATCATCAGACATACTATTGACAACAAAAAAACACACACACACATTACTGAACAGAAAGCACGCATGTGTTTCCCAAGTGCGCCTTCTGCAGATGGCACTCGATAAAATGCTAACACGACGCACCAAAAGATTCAAATACGGTGGACCTTCATGCTCACTTTGGCACACAGAAACAACATTTGAAACCACACACACCCCACCCAACAACCACACGGTTCCACACGGTCCCGGCCCGCGGTAGCCCGGCCTCCAAGCACCGGTGCGACGCCCGCTCACCTGTGCTTGATCTCGACCAGGCTGGCGGGCGGCTGAGCGTTGGCCATCTGCTGGACGTACTGCGCCACGGCGTCCACCAGCTCGGCGTTGGCCGACATCTGGTGGTCGTCCTGGTAAACCGCAGTTGGCCGCGGCGCCACTGCGAGCGCGACGGTTCGGCTATGTTAGGACGTGTGTGGCGGCCGCCGGGCGTTGCAATCTGTCACGGCGACCGCGGCTGAGTGGTGGCGGGTGGGGGGTGAGGGTTGGGGGGGGGGGGGGGGAGGGGAGGGAGGCCAGAGCGGAGCCGACGGCCGTTACGAGCCCCCACCCACGCTCTGCGGGTCACAAAACATCCTGCGAGCGCTGGCCAATCGGCTCATGCAAGCGTCGCTGCCACCGCCGCCGCCGCGACCCAGGGACGGTCAGCCGCGTCCCGCGACCCGGAGGTCCAGCACGTGATTCCATCCGCGGGACTCCAGCGGCGTCATGCGCGACGAGTCAGACGCAGAGCTGGCTACATGAACGTCGGCTGGTAACCAGCCCAGGGTGACCTGATTCAGCAGGGTCTAGGACCGCCACCTGGGCGTGTGGTCGTGATGAGGAGACGCGCAGCAGTTCTGCGCGATGGAAGGACCATGAACAAGACTGGCATTCCAATCACAATTAAACCGCTTCTTGGACAGCGGGCTCAGAACGCCCGCGTGTCGCGCTGAGCGTGTATGTACTTGCTCTTTCCGCAAAGTTGCGACGCTAGTCGTCCTCACGTTAATGTAACCGGCAAGGGTGCATGAAAACCAGCCGGCTTTATCATACATCGTGCCACTGCAACAGTGGGACGCGCCATCCCGCACCCCAGCGCGACCGCGTGAAAAAGTTCTGCCTCCGTCCGGCCTCGAACCGGCGCCGCTCACCTGCAGGCCACCTGGTCGGCGTGCGCGGCGAAGCCGTCGAGCGCGTCGACAGCCACCAGCGTGTCTTGCTTGAGCACGTCCAGCAGGCCGGCCGTGTCGGCCAGCATGGCCGGCGTCAGGGAGCCGCCGCCGCTGCCGCTGCCGTTGCCGCCGCCGCCAGAGGAGGAGCCGCCCCCGCCACCACACGTTGTGATGGTGTACACCAGCTGAGGAGTGACGTCACCGACGCAGCCGTTAGCGAGCTTGGACGGTGGGTTTGCGAGGCAAAGACAGGCTTGCTTGGCGTCCAGTGAGGTTTACGAGGCTTCCAAGGGCTTCAAAGAGGGTGCCAAGTGGACTTACAGGCGCCGGTCATAGCTTTTGGCCACAATCACCGATCTTCAATAACTAATTCTTGCCAAGCGCGGCTGCGAGACCTGTTGACCATGCTCGCGCTTCCAGTGAACAACTCACCCACCAGCGCGCGCACTCAAACGAACCAGCGCCCCAAGAGGGGCATCCCGCCGAGACCCGTCACGGAGACCCCAGCATGCCGCACCCAGCGCGCGCGCTTCCCCGCCGGCGCACGGCGCCGACCAGCGGCGCGCGGCCCACCTGTCTTCCGTCGGAGGAAGTGCGGTACGAGAGCGGCACCTGCAGCAGCTCCGTGCCCGGTGCCGAGCTGAACGGGAACTCGTTGGGCGTGTGGTCCGGCTCCATGGCGCGCTGCTCGCGCTGCACGCTGCCGCGGTCCCGTCAATGGCGCACGGCCAGTCAGCTGGAACACGCCGGAGTCGGTGGGCGGCGGTGCACGCACCGTTGGGGTACCATGAGGCGTTGCTTGCGCCAGGGATGATGATGACAGGGTGATGGCGAAACTCGGCATTTTGCGTCATTGGCCTTGATGGGTCACCCTTGACAGCAGCATATTGATTTTCAGGGACCATGCACTGTGCTCATTTCATGCATTGATAGAGCTGTCTGATTGGGAGGCAAAAACATAACTCTCAATTAAATATGTCAAGCAAAAGAGGAGTCAAGATACACTGTAGTGACAAGGGAATAATAGGAATCAAGAACATGTTTGTATCACATGCATGAATGCAAGCATAAGATGATGTTTTTCCCATATCACAGTTCAAAATGATCATTTAAAAGAACCTTGAATCTGAATGTTAACAAACAACACTGGTTGAAATATGCCGCAATATTGTTTTGTGATAAAATTTCTACGACATGAATAATGCACCATCAAACTGTTGTAAAACCACTTTAACTCGGACCACTCTGGTTCAGCAATGCAGTCAAGTGATCATCATTTCTCACTGCAAGTGTAAAAGTTTTTTGCTTTCTGCTCAACCCATCTCAACTTCAAAATTGTACTTAAATTACGTTTTACAAGTAAGACTTCACACATCTCAATGTTGTTTTAAGATTGTATATGCATATTATGAATACACTGCCCCACACTGAATTTGTCAGGATTAAGATGAATTTTACAATCTAGGTTCTTAATACAGAAGTTCTTATAGCTGATGCATTTCCAAAATGAATGACATTCCTGACATGACATGCCAAGCTAGCAAATTCTGTTTACTTGAGCTACAGTCACATTTTGGTTACGGGCCAGAGTTCTGCAATGTTTTGGATCCTTGTTTATAACATGGTACAACAAAATTGAAAGCACACTACAGATGACAGGACAGGGCCACACAAGGGACAACTGCACACAACACAGCATAGGCACAACACAGAAGACAGTGCAGCAGACATATCAATGTTCTGCACAAACGAAAACCAAATGCATGACAATGGGCAAGAATGTAAAAATGTAAGAATGTAAGAATACTGAGTGACTGAAAGTTGTATATTGCACACTGACTCCATGAGCCTCAGATTTGCTCAAATCAGCAACAAATATCCAGAATCTCTCATATATTGTTGCTGCAGGCTACTGTGATTACTTGTTGATATATCCTTTAATATAATTTGAGGCCTCATGTGAGCCCAATCAAATGCAGAGAATCTTAACACATCTTGTGTTATTCAAAAATGTTATAAGCAAGCATGTTAAATTGGATATTACCACCAAATGCCAAATCAGATGTAATGGATTGCTTGTGACTGTGAATGTCACACTATGATTTCAGGTATGGGAAATGCCTGTGTGTTAATGCTACATAACCCAGATGATAAAATGTGCATGTCAAAGGCAAACATGTCCTGTCTGGTAGCAACACTGCAGCAACAATTTCAGTACACAGTTGTTATAAACCACGGTGGGCAGGGTTTATCACATTACATCAATTTTGGCTCACAGAGTTAATGTTTCAAGGAATTATGATGTTGCAAAGGTACTTATGGTCTGAAAGTACTATGAGAATGTTTCTCATGTAAAATAAGATGCAAAATCAATCATAGCTTAGTCTGCCCTTTGTTTGGCGCAATTCAGCTTCATCTGAATTTGGTGCACCAGTGTGAGATTCACCACACCTAAGCTGCAGGCATTAGATGCAATGGATGGATTTCCTAAAACTGGTATTTAACTATACTGGCCTACAATAGAGCATGGCTTATGACAGATATAATTAAACAAACAACATGAACTACATGATAGATACAATAAAACAGACAATGCAAACTAGGTGGTAGATACAATAAAACAACCAACATAAACTAGATACTGAGAATGAAGGATGCACCAAGCTAGAAAAACAACAACCTGTCTATAAAAGATGGAGCAGTTATTTGGAGCACTTAACTTTCAGGAAACCACAAATTACACTTAGTGACTGAGCAAGCCCCAGTCCCAGCAAGGGCAGTCAGACACCTCAGCAATTGCTGCACAGGCATGGCAGTGATAGATAGCTTTCACAGAAATGGCACAATTGAATCATGAAGTTAGGATGCAAATTTGCTGTATCTGGGGACCAGCAAACACATCCCATGCTATCTAAAAGTGCAATAGGCACCACCGTAAGGCATTTACGTATTTACTGGTGCCCGTACCCACCGCTGGCATCAGTTCTTTAAATGGCTTTATTTGACCAGAAAAGGGGGATCTCACCATTACTTGTGGCAAAATGGAGGACAAAGATTGCGGGAACTAGAGGCGGGTGACAACAACCATAAAACTTCACATACCGATGCCTGCAAGGCACTATAATTACGATGTATGTAAGGAATTGGGGTAACAGAGGGTCGGCCTCCCACTTTGGACGTTCCTACACCCGTACCTCATTATCTACTCCACACGTTGATTGTAACCGGATCAATACCTGCGTGACATTCCTGTTACAACAGCAACAATATCCAAGGATGATCAATCACAGAACAAACCAATGCAATACAGTCTCAGCAGAACAACCCGAAATGCGTGGCCACCCAACCAAGATTGGAATCCCGTCAACGCTACACCGAAGACTTGCGCATGTTTTGTCGCGCGACTGGAAAAACGAGGATGCTAATTGAAAGCTGTCTACTAGGAGCATGTGAATGATTAGGATCGATGTTTATAGTACACAAAGTACATCTGTTGTTGGAAAATCGATAACAACACGTAAATTGACATGGAAAGTTCGACACCAGCCTTATTAAGCAACTAAACTGCACTCAGGAGTTGGAGCACGGATATACGGGAGAAATCCAGCGCCGAATTCCCTTTGTCCGTGTAAAGAGAGTGAGATGAATGCGTAGTTATTCAAGATGCATTCGGAGCCAACATTCGTCTTAACAAGAAAACTAAACGTGTTATTGGGAAGGACAACACCAGTGTTAATGATGAAAAGAACACCGGCGTATCCTATGGCGTAGTCAGAATTGTGGCAAGGAGAAATTCAACTTCGCGGTGCGGGTGTGGGTGTCGGGGGGGGGGGGGGGTCCTCATTCAATCACTTCGTCGACAGGAAGACCTGCTTTCATTCGAGGCACACCTTAGCCTCGGAACCCAATTTAAATGTCCTGACATCCCATTTTCAAGTGTTTCAGAGGTACCGCGAGCGTCTTAAATTGTCAAGAAGCATCGTAATGGGCCCCGTCATCTTCAGGGGGGGGGGGGGAGGGGAAGGGGAGCATTACCACAAAGCCTCCCCTGGCCACGCCGCTGTCATTTTGCACGATTCATCAACTCATTTTCGATGAAGCTGACGCAGAAAAATTCAACAACTTCTCGTCCCTGCCGGCATTCAATAAAAATGTAACATTTCTTGGCAGTTCTGATGTCATTTGGATATTTTTGAAGATTTAGTTCGACAGGTTTTGAAAGGATGGGTTCTGGAATCAGAGCTCATGTTAAGCACTGCATGTAGCGTGAGCCGTGACCCCTACCGCCCGATCTGGCATTTTAAACCCAACGCGACTTACACACGCGACACGCGACGTACATCACGGACGTGCCTTTTCTTGTAAGACCCGTGACCAGGACCTTATTCAATATACCTGACATTTTTCACCTCTCGTACGTTTCTCTACATCATGTTTATGCTTTTCGCCTTGTGACTGTCGATTTACTTGGTGCCAAAGGTCTAAGAATAGCCGCCAATATTGTGGAACGACGTGATAAAGTGCAGTTGAATCCAATGCAATACGGTATAATTTCATGAGAGAAACTGAGTGTGCCGGATTGCTCGGCACGATCCGCCCTGAATTCTGACATTACCCAAACTTAAGCACGGCCGCTGCCACCTGCCGCAGGCCATATATGTCCGGCCAAGTACCCAGCACCTAAGGCGATTCGAACCCACCCTCGTGCGAGCGGAAGGCAAGCGCTCCAACCGAGCTGTCGGCGCAGGACGGAAACGATCTGTCGACTTGCACTGCTGCTGAAATGAGTACCAATCAGTGATGTAGGTCGTTTCGTACTGTGCCGTACGAAGTCGTTCATGCAGTATTATGCGGTCACTCGTGCAGTGCTATGCGGGGAAACAAAACCCGATGCATTGGTTGAACAACTTTGGAAATTCGAAGCGGCTTGAGCGACACTCGGAGAAGCACTACGGAAATGCCGTGTGCGTCGAAGGCCACAGCGAGTTGCATTGGAAGCAAAGGGGCACCAAACCTTCCACGCATCTCCAAAACCATTCCTCAACATCCCACCGAGTTACAAGCCAGCAGCAGCAAACGCCATTTATTTCCACACAGTCTCACCGCTTTGTGTTAACAAAACACCAGATCCATGTTAACGGTATTATTACTACGGCTCAGGTTCGGTACAAAATCCGAGTACAAAATTTGTACGTACGTAATAGGTTAGCACGCGGCCGGGCGCGGGCGGGAGCACCGTCTCGCTGGATGGCACAGATACGCATCACTTCACGCACACGGGCGGGCCGCGTCCGGCCCGCCTCTTGGCACTCGTCTTCGTCGTATTGAATCCGCGCCCCGACGACGGCATCAAGATAAACCGTGCAGCGCGCGCGCGCAACAGCACGCGGCGGGCTGACCAATCGCACCGAAGGATCAGACAGGCAGGAGAAGATTGCTAGCTGCACGCGAGGGCGCGGGCTGCTCGACTTCGGCCGGCGCCGCCGCCGCCATCCGACGCTGACCAACCAGATGGCGGCGGCCCACGTCGCGACCAATCAGAAAGCCGCTTATTGCCGGCGCCCACCGGCGTCGGATAGCCCTAAAGCATCATTGGTGCAGCATCAGCGAACAGAGGGTAGCAGAAAGCCCAGGCCTAACGAATATACAGCGGGCGAATCTAGGGGTCAATTCATACAGCAATCGATTCTAGGCAATAAGTCGTGCACAGGTCAAATCTCGGGTATAATTCATGCAGCGTCCGAATCTAGGGGATAATTCCTACTGCTAGCGACTCAATGTACAACAACGCAAGATGGAACAGGCCCTGTCCGCCGCACCACGCGGGCCCGCAAACTCGACAGCGACTGGACCGGCCGCGGTATTATTGCAGCGCGGCGAGGCGCGCCGACAGATGGCGGGCCGGTCTGGCTGCCGCAGCGCCGCCATCACAGCAACCTCGGAGAGCGGCGCAGACCGCGCGCGAGCCGTATTGCTCTCGGGAGACTCGCTGGGGACGCCGGGCGCGTGACACCCGCTTGAGGACACAGTTCCGGCCGTCGCAGCGACGCGCACCGCCGTAACGACGCGGCATTCACCGCTGGTGACGTCACACAGACTACCGGGGTGATGTCACGCCACCCAGAGGTGACGTCAGACCGTCGACAACGTCACATACACACACAGACCGGGGACAGAGGCGGAGCTCGCTCCCGGTCGGCTCGCCGCAGTAGGCGGCGCCGACCGCGGCCTCTTGCTGACGTCACAGGTAGCGATCACGTCACTGCCTCCGAGCGGCGCCGGGTTCCCGTATCCACAATCGCACGCGCATGTACGCACACGTACACACACACACACACACACACACACCGATCAACGTAGACACCAACAGGCACGCTGGAAGCGCCAGTATTTTGTCCCGATGGCGGGCATTTGCCGCCCACGCCAACACTGCGTAAGGTCCCACCGCTGCCACCAATGCAGACACGCCGCAGCCAGCGCCAGCTCTGGTGTCACCGCCGCCACCGCGGCACGGCTAGAGGTGTACGGCGGGGGTGGCGGCGCGCCGCTCGGCCTGCACGGCGACCAGCAGGTGCTTCTTGACGTTGAGGGCGCGCAGCCGGGCGCCGGGCGTGCGACGCCAGCAATCCTGCATCAGGCGGCTCAGGGTGGCAAGCGACTGTCGGGCAGACGGGTCACCGGTCAGGTCGGAGGGCGCCACTCGCCGGATGGCTCGGGGTCGGGCACCGGCCCGTATGTCAGGGATCGGCACCAGACATGACACTACATGGCGGAGAATCACTGTCATCCACAGGCGGAGAAGAGTGGCCGAAAACTGATAAGTATGCAAGAGCAACAACTGAGGGTTCGGTACACCCCCTTTTATTACGCCTCCCACTACTTCACGGGTTTTCCAACATCATGTTTCTCTTTCACTCTCACAGAACGTGGCGTAGACCCGATACAAAACGTTCTGTTCAACGTTCCTCGAAAGCAGCGTCGTTTACCAAGCAACAACCCAGGATGATGGCACATATTCTCATGCTCAGGTACTACAGTGTATACGTGCACAAGAAGAGCATGATGGCGCAGCATGCCGGCAAGCCTCCTGTCCAGGCGTTAACCCTACTGCGACGCGCGCAGACTGCCGACGCTGGAATGCCATGACCGCGGCACGCGTTCGGGCCGCGGCTAGCCCGGCGGCGCCCCGCTCGGGCCACACCAGCTGACCTTGTGCCGGCCCCAGCGGTCGGGCAGCGGCGGCCGCACGTTCCCGACGCACACCAGCCGGTGCATGTCGTCGAAGCTCGGGTCGGCCGGCACCATGCCCGCGTACGGCACCGCGTACTCCTCGTAGTCGCGCATCTTGTCGCCGGTGGCGCACCTGGCGGCCGACGGCAGAGTTAGGGCGTGACGTCACACGCAGCGTCCGCTCCGACATCGGCCGGACCTGGCCTCGCGGAGGACGCTGGGTCGCTGGTTGTGCGGACTGCAGAGTCGCGTCACGCCGTCCTGTGAAAACTGCGACGTTGTCAGCGGGACTGCGCCACAATCCGTCACGCAGCGTGGCCGGTGACGTTCCGTAGCATCTCATCCATGTTTGGTCCGCAGGTGGTACAAATTCAGGCCAGATTTGGCAGACTATCTGAGACGGATCACGTCGTGGTTCAGTGCCACGTAACGTTAACGCTCGGGTTCATCAATGTGATGTGGCCACTGCATGCTGTCAAACGTCGGTTGACGTTGGCAATGTACACGCTTTGTGAGCACCTAATGGGAGTGGAAACAGCAATGAAAAGCACTTCAGGTGCCCAACATAATATCCAAAAAGAGGAGTTTCAAGTCGCGTCGACGGCCAATGTTCATGCAGTGAAAGAACTATTGAAAAGACTTAAACATCTGCATGGGGTTTTGAAGTGAGCTCGCCAATTTCAAGGCCTTTCTCTGCAATTTACAGCTATGTCCTTTTTAAGACTTTATATCCACTCGTTTCTGAGCTATGCGCATGGACCTAGCATGCATACATTCCACATGATGCAGACATTCCACATCTGGCACGGGTCTCCAGATCTACGAAACTCTCTCTTCTGCGGTCACCGCAATCACCCACAACGTTCTCGGCGATAACCGCACCCTGTTCTCCCAATGCTCTTACAAAAAACCTCTGACAGTTCAGCTCATCTTCTAGAAAAACCGCGGTATTCCAGCCGTCCTGCAGCGTCCAGAGCGGACGGGTTCTCACTCGGCCACGATCTCGGGCCGTTCTCACCTGAGCGCCACCTCCCAGAAGACGAGGCCGGTGGAGTACATGTCCGACCCTGCTGCGGCGTCCAAAGCGGACGGGTTCTCACTCGGCCGCGATCTCGGGCCGTTCTCACCTGAGCGCCGCCTCCCAGAAGACGAGGCCGGTGGCGTACATGTCCGACCCTGCTGCGGCGTCCAAAGCGGACGGGTTCTCACTCGGCCACGATCTCGGGCGGTTCTCACCTGAGCGCCGCCTCCCAGAAGACGAGCCCGGTGGAGTACATGTCCGACTGCTTGAAGGCCTCGAAGCTACGAACGTCCAGGGTCTGGTCCAGCACCTCGGGCGCCATGTAGCGGCGCGTGCCCTGGCGCGTGCACGCCACGTCCAGCTGCTGCTTCTCACTGGGGGCGGCGAGGGCGGGCGGGGGGTGCTGTCAGCGGCGGCGACACCGGCCGCCGGCTCGGACCGGCGCTGTCCAGAGCCGTCATCATAAAGCAGCGCACAGGTCCCGAGGTGGAAGGTCAACACAGACGCCGTGACCCAGCGAGCCGCCCTCCAAAGATTATCCTCAGAGGACTTCGCCCTCCAAGGACTTAATCCTACGAGGACGCCATCCACCGAGCACGCCATACTCAAAACGTCATCCGTCATCCAAAACGCCTGCTGGCGCCGGAGCCACCGGCGGCCGGCAGATCTCAGCGTCTCTCATCTCATCTCAGCCTCTCTCATCTCCTGTCGGCAGATCTCACCCGCAGCTGGTGTACATGACGGCCAGGCCGAAGTCGGCCAGGCAGCACTCGCCGTCCGCCTTCACCAGGATGTTCTTGGACTTGATGTCGCGGTGCGCGATGGCCGGCCGCACACTGGTGGCCACCACCTCCTTGTGCAGGTAGTCCAGGCCTGGCCGGTCGCAACAGGTCAGCTATAGCGGTCACCGGGGTCACGCCGCGCCAGCCCGGCCCCGGCAGGGCTACACCAGGTGACACACGAGGTCACCAGGTCAACAGGTCGGCACTGTGGTACACGACGTCACCAGGTCATGACAGCTCAGTCCAACCCGCCGATATGAGGGGTCACAACAGGTCATCACTGGTGGTCATGCCACGGTCCCACGTCACTCCAGTCAGGGGGGAGAGGGCGGGGAGGTCACGCAGGGTCAGCAGCCCCGCTGCTCCCCTACAAGTCACATGTCGATACGACTGATCAACAAGGCAGTGACCGGACTTCAGGAGCAGCGACCGACAGCCACGTAACCTGCGGCGGCGCTCATCTCCGTTATCGTTTCCCCAATTCGTGGGCGGCCAACCAGGAAAAGCCGACCGGCTACGTGGGGGAGGGGGGAGGGGGTGACACCGACACGCCATGGCCGCTCTCTCACTCGAGAGGCACCCCCGCGGCTATCTCGAGATCGTACGGGGTTTCCCCCGAGTGTACCGGGCGTCGAGGCAGGCGGCCGCGCCGTCCGGCGGCAGGAGGTGCCCGTGCATCGCGTGCACACGCGATGCCGCGCGCGCGATGATAACACGTCAGCACCGCCCTGTGAGAGAGGCGGCCACCCCAACACCGTGCCACGAATGGAGCTGCCTGAGGTGGCCGCCACGGGTGCTTCCACGCTCCAAGCCCTCAGCCGCGGCGGCATGAGATGCCAGGCTCGAGACCCCGCTAGGAGCGGCAGAGATGCTGTCTTGCATGCCCCGCAGTGTCATCTTGTGCAGTGTCTTGTGCGGTGTCTTGTGCGGTGTCTTGCATGCCACTGAACAAACAGTACAGCGCCCAGCACCGTCCTACGCCAACAAGGCGTTCACGCCAGCCAACGACATCGACTCCACTGGAGTTGATCCCGGATTTCGTCCACATCTTGTGACAGCGCCACGGCCCTCTCCAGGTTGTGCCGTGCAACTTGGGGTTGCATCAGTCACGGCTTCGGCAGCGGGACGAGGGCGCGGGAGAGGACAGTGAGAGTGACGAGGGTAGACGAGGCGAGGCGAGGAGGGAGAGCAGGGAGATGGGCGAGAGACAGGTAGGAGAGGCACGTGCTAGGAATGGCCGCAGACGCAGCAGAGACGATATACCACGGGGCGGGGGCATTGCATGACAATAGACATCACGACATGACAGAAGATAACGACATGGCAGAGAAGAGGGTGTAGGGCAGGCGCCGACGGCAGCCGAGAGCATGGGACAGACAAATCAGCATGATAGAGGAAGGGAGGTAAAGAAAGAAAGAAAGAAAGAAAGAAAGAGGAAGAGACAGAGACAGACACAGAGACAGGAAAGAGAGAGAGAGAGGAGAACGAGCCGGAGAGCGAGAGAGCAGGAAAGCCAGAGAGCGGGGAGAGAGAGAGCGAGAGAGCGAGAGAGCCAGAAAGCGGGAGAGCGGGAGAGCGAGAAAGCAATAAGGCAAGACAGCGCGAGAGCAAAGAGCGAGCGTGAGAGAGCGAAACAGTGACAGGGCGAGAACACCAGCATGGCCAGAAGGCGCCGTCACCAGAGCGGCGGGCGCCTGCCAGCGGCGGCAGCGGTGGGCGCGCGCCGACCGACGGGTGCCCTACCCTGTATGATGGAGAGGCACATGACGAGCGTGTCGATCGGCTGCAGCACGTGCTCGCGCAGGTAGTCGTACAGCGATCCGCCGCTGTGGTACTCGCTGATGAGCCACATCTCCGTGCAGCCGCGGGCGCCGCCGCTCGACGTGATGTCGGCCGCCACGAACCCTGCAACGCGCACGTGCGGTCTCTCACATGGCGCATGCGGTCTCGGACATCACGCGTACGGTCTCTTGACACATGTGTACTGTCTCTGACACGTGTACGGTCTCTGACATCGCGAGTACGGTCCCTGAACGCGTGTACGGTCTGACACGTGTACGGTCTCTGAAATTGCGCGTACGGTCCCTGAACGGGTGTACGGCTTCTGACATCGCGCACACGGTATGACATCGACACACTGCTACGGGCGACCGGCGGACGGGTACCGCCGGCCTGGACACGTCAGCATGCGGTGGAAGCCTGTGCCGCCGAGTCCAATGCAAGGGACGTGACGGAAATGACCTGTACACTGCACGAGATAGCAGAATGATGTATTAACACTGGCGACTCTTGTAGATACAACAGCGGAACTGAATGAACACCGTGTTCGGGGTTCGGCCAACGATCTCCTTAACAGCCCACCGCGAACAACATTCACAGGCAGCACACACAAGGTCACAGGTCACAGGTCATGGGTCACACCTAACCGTCCTGTCAGACGTCGCACTGCTTTAAAATTGCATACAAAACGTCATAAACTTAAGCAGTCTCCTACCGTCGTTGGTACGAGTCGATTCGCACGGAACCGAATTCACCCTCAGTGTCGTACGGAACCGAATTCACCCTCAGTCCCCGCCCTGTTCGGGGCGGGGGGACTGAGCCGGACAGGGCTGCATGTGCGCGGTCCTGGGCACACTACCTCTCCGCCTCGTGGCCGTGTTCCTCCCCCGCCTTTCCTCCCCTCCCCTCCCCCTCCCCCGGCTCCGCAGCCGGCGCCTCTCCGGCGCACCCCGCCGACGGCCACCCACCGAGCACGTTGGGGTGCTGCAGGCGGCACGTCTCGTAGACCTCCTTCTCGCGCTGCCAGGAGGCCTCCTCAAGCGTGAAGAACACCTTGACGGCCACCGGCTGGCCGTGGTAGAGTCCGCGCTTCACCAGGCCGTAGCGGCCCTGGCCGACCGTCTCGCCCACGACGATCTCGCGCGCGATGGTCCGTTGCGTCTGCGCAGCGGGCGGGACGACACGTCAGCCCCATACTGACGGGCCGACGGGCCGACGGGGACGGTGGCAGGGGACGGGGCGGCTGCTCGAGGACGCTCCACCCGCTGTGGCCGTCTTCCGAGGAAGTGCTGGCCAGATTATCCTCCAACAACTGGCTTGATCCATTGGTTATCTAGCACCGAGTGTGATCCGGCATCGACGCTGCTGGAGTTACTAGTAACGAGCCAGATACAGATATAAGAGCAATGATACCTGTTCCCCGCCCCGCAGCAAGCGCCACAGCGACTGACCAGGAAGGGTTTGCCGGAGCCGCTGCCGCTGCTGGTCTCTGCCAGGCCGTGGCTGGCGGCGATCAGCGCCTCGTAATCGGGGATGACGTCATCTGGGTCGCGGCGCTCCTCCAGACGCTTGCGGTACCTGCCGCCAGGGGGCAGGGCCGGCGGTGAGGTCCCGGTCACGGCACGGCCGGGTCACGCAGCCAGTGACGGGGATCGAACCCGCGCCCCTGGTTCCCCAGACGCGCAGCTTCTCCGCTACACTACCCTTGTGACGTCATAATCGAACGAATGACGTCATAATCGAGCTCATGGTGGCGACAAATCCAGTCACAGCGCCGTCGTTATCAGGTGCGGTCGGTGAACAGCGGCTGGCGTTTTGAGGCTGCAGGACGGCGCAATCCTCCAGTATCAGTCCATCCCTCCGTTGAAGGCGTGCGCAGCCAGCAGAGCTGCAGCCGCCCGCTGCCGTGCGTGGTTATGAGTCGAAAAAGTCAGGTGCTCACGGGAGGTGGCAGGGAAGGGTGGAGGGAAGGAGGGCGAACACAAGGCAACACAACACTGAGCAGCAATAGCAGGCCCATCGTCGGAGCTCTTCAATTCCTCAAAAACGAACGTCGATCGAGTTTTTGTCATCCATCGACTGGCACACTGGATGAGCGCTAATGAAAACGTTTAAGGAACTCCAATTGCAGCACAATACCACGCGGTTCCCGGCTTTATGGCATGCCCTAGAGATGTTTTGTTCACCTGGGCGACCATCCGTTCGCACCTTACATACGGTTTCGCCCGCCACGGCCGCCAAGTGTCTCGCCTGCGGATACGGCGTGTCTTGCGGCCTCACCTCAGGTAGACGATGGCCACCACAATGACGAAGATGACGAGGCAGAGCGTGACTGATATCAGCAGCGCCATCTGGTGGACAGTGTCGTCGTACCTGGCGGAGCACGCCGAGGTCACACAGAGCACAGAGGTCACACTGAGCATCGCAAGGTCACAGAAAACACAGAGGTCAACAAGAGCACGCAAAGGTCACACAGAGCAAATAAAGGTCGCACGGAGGATACAAAGATCACACAGAGCACATCAGGGTCACAAAGAGCACACAGATGTCACAAGGGCACATAAAGGTCATGTAGACCACGCAAGGGTCACACAGAGCACCAGACTACACGGATAACACAAGTCCTACGGAGAACGCCGAGGTCACAAATACCACGCAGAGGCAAAACTGACCGACCTGTACTCTGTGATCACACAGGGGGTATCAATGTTAAGCAAAGCAGCTAGAGGTCACGCACATGGCTGAAGAGAGGCCGAAAGAGAGACGTACACATCACACAAGACCGCACTTGTCGTGAAACTGCAAAGACCACGTCACCATATAAGAGTTGGGAAAATAACGGGGCCCGACCCAATGCATCCAATGGCGAGTAAACGACCGTGGGGAATAACCAGACTTGTCTTTCGATGCTCATTGAAATAATCCCTTCTCCATCGCCAACAAGGGTCCAAGATTATTCGCGGGTACATAATATATTTGCAAATCATGACGGGCGCGAGCGCACTTCGACCAGCATTACACATCCGCGTGCACATATCTTAACCCTACCACCCAGCCATGTGACGGCACTGATCCGAGGTACCCGCCGTGTGGCGGCACTGACCAGAGGCAATCAGCCCAGTGGCGGCACTGACCAGGGACACCACGCCGTGTGGCGGCACTGACCAGAGGTACCCTGCCGTGTGGCAGTACTGATCCGAGGTACTCAGCCCAGTGGCGGCACTGACCAGAGGTACTAAGCCCAGCGGCGGCACTGACCGGAGGTACCCCCCGTGTAGCAGCACTGACCAGACACCCGGCCGTGTGGCGGTACTGATCCGAGGTACCCCGCCGTGTGGCGGTACTGACCAGAGGTACCCTGCCGTGTGGCAGTACTGACCCGAGGTACTCAGCCCAGCGGCGGTACTGACCGGAGGCACCGCGCCGTGTAGCAGCACTGACCAGAAGCACCGCGCCGTGCAGCAGCAATGACTAGAGACACCCGGCCGTGCGGCGGCACTCACCCGAGGTACTCGCTGGTCAGGTCGCCGTCGCCCGGCCGACGCACGTACATAGGCCGCAGCTCCCGGTTGCAGTGGTTCCGATTGCGACAGCACTCGATGGTCGTCGGCACCGCGAATGGGCTGTTGGCGCTCTTGCACTGGAAAGCGCGCGCCGCCGCGTCAGAGCGCCGACCGCGCCGACCGCGCCGCCGGGCGCGGGCGACCCAGCGCAGCCTCAGCGACTGCGGCGCTCGCTGGTGGACACGCTGTGCGCGCGCGCGCGCCATTTCTGACGGAACATGTGAGTTGCGCGCGTTCGCGCACGTGGCTTGAGACGGGACGGGACAGCGATGCTTCGTGAGGGATTCCGGGACGGGTGTAGTAGACATGGGTAGCAAGACACTGGTGCAAGGTTGGAAGCAAGATACAATGAAGTGGATCCTGCTGATGCATGCGCCTTGTGCTGAGCCGAAAAAATCGGGTACAGGAGTGCGGTCCGATGTCTATCTCACGTAGACGTAGACATAGACGTGTTATTAGACTATCCACGATGAGCTCCTAGCTTTTCAAGTCCACTGTCACAGCATCCATCTAACCCACATGAACCCAGTTTCATGCAGTCTAATGCCCACCTCACCTGCACGTAGCCGGTCTCATCCGGTCTGGTGACCCCAGCGTCCATCTCACCCGCATGTAACCAGTGTCACCTGGTCCGGTGCCCATCTCACCTGCATATAACCAGTTTCACCTGGTCTGGTGCCTGTCTCACCTGCATGTAACCAGTCTTACCTGGTCTGGTGCCCATCTCACCTGCATGTAACCAATTTCACCTGGTCTGGTGCTCATCTCACCTGCATGTAGCCCATCTCGCCTGGTCTGGTGCCCATCTCACCTGCATGTAGCCCATCTCACCTGGTCTGGTGCCTGTCTCACCTGCATGTAGCCCGTCTCGTCGGGCTGGAGGCAGCCATAGGTGCGCTCTGGACCGAACTGGCCGCTGCGCTCGTCCCACGCCTCGCTGACGGCCGCGAAGCACCAGGCGGTGGGCGGCGCCACGCACGTGTTGTTGACGGCGCCGTCCGGACACGCGCCGGCGCAGTAGCACAGCATCCTGCGGATGGCGCAGGGTCAGCTGATACTCTACTGCATCAGCAGAGCTCATTGCAGCAGTATTCCAAAATTCATGGAGTAGGGTGTGCAGGTTGTAGACATAAATTCATGCTACCAGAACCTTGGCTCTCTGGCAGCAAGCACACAATTTGTTGGTGCTAATCCAATGACCTTTGATGCTGAACCCAGCTATCTGACCTGCCAAGCCCGATTGTCATGCCCGAGGTGCTTAGATACTGGGTTCACAGCTGCCCTGTTTGATGCTGCTTGGCTGATTTTGAATAAGGGGAGGGCCAATAGGCAGTGAGTCCCAAGCTGGGGTGAATTAGCATGAAAAATATCTATATCCATGCCACCCAACTGGCCAAATATTGGAACACCGGGTTACAGCATGCCAATATGTCACATGTAACAGCTTCCTGATGCACATTGTCTAAATATGCTATTTTTATGTCAAGACATCTCACAGCATCTCTTCTCATATTTTTCCATCAAAAGCTAAAAGAGTAATAAGACTCAGTTAGGTGAGACAGAACAGAGCACTTTGCCCTGGTTGCCCCCAAATAGTCAACATCATCATCATTTCTCAGTGAATTTCAGCTGTTTATAAAGCAAGATAACTAATAAAATGTTATGCAGGTTTGATTTATGCAAATGATATTTTGTATTGCCTTATTCATATTTAAAAATGCATTCATTTTGCTGTGTATGCATCATCATTAACAATATCAGAGGATTATGGTATTTTAAGGATAGATAGCCCAGATACTGCTGTGCTTTAGCAGCCTATGAATACACAATCTCAGATACCTAAGCAGCCTCTAAATAACTAGTCTACTGCTGCACTGAGCATCCAAATAAGATCAAATCTAACTTAACATTTAAGCTTGACTGCTGAACACATTAAGCTAAGCATGGAAACTTATCCAAGTATATCAAAATTACCCATTCTGTCATCCTCAATAATCATGTACCATGTAAACCTAAATTAGGATGAAATCAAGTAAGGCACTTGAGGCAGAATTATATCAGTATCTGATCACAACTTTTTACATCTCATACAATTATATCAGAAATCTTAGTTTAGATCTTTTGACACAACACTGGGATAGACAATGTAAATACATGTGTCCAGCATGTGGCTATCCATGGGCCAGAAAATATCCCATCTGGCATACAAAGTATACTTGATATGACCAAGAAGGGCCCAAGATTCTGATGAAGCACAAGGCCAAAACTGAAGCTAAGTGACCAGTTGAGCTGCTGTAACCAAAGTCTGATATAAAATTAATAATGCACACACACCTTGGTATATGAACAGCTCAGACACCACCCAGGCACCTACCAGTCCCCTGATCTAGAGAACATAAGTTTTACAAGGAGTGAAATATGTGCACACAGCAACTTTTATGCCTGTGGAGCACTAATGATTTCTTTTCTTAGAACTGTTCTGCTCCAGATCATAACAGCCTACAAGATAGCCACATGTTTGCATGTTGGTCCCTACCTACCAACCTACCTATGTTGTTTACCAAGCCCCAATTTAACATTTGCTGGCAAAGCCATATGTCTGAACAGTGTACGTTTCATGCAGTGCCATGAAATAATGACATTAAGCTAACTGTGCAAATCTTGTGCAACAAAACCTGAAAAAGGCTGATTGTTTTCGTTGCAAGCATGATGGACCACAAATGTCGCGGAATATGTGCATGACCACTCACAATCTTCACGAACAAGCTTGATTGCATCGAACCAAACGTAAATGGCGAGGACAAAACATTTCGAAGTCGAGCACTTACCTTTTTGAAGAACACCAAACTGAATGCTCACTTTTCGCCTTGTTTATAAAAGATGCGCAACACAGTCAATACATCCCCACAACACACCATCTCGCTCCCCCTCTAGATGCGTTCAACAGTAAAAACTCACGCAGAAGAATGCTCACAAAATTAGGGGCACTCCAAAGAGAAAATTGTTCAGCTGATATCGAGCTGAAAGTATGCTGAGACCATCAGACTGTTCAAAATCTTGCGGAGCCATTGCAGGTTGAATATTTACTTTTATGGTTATTGAGAAAATATATTTTTATTCATTTAATAGTCTAAAATTGTTTTATATTGTGATGGTTTGATGCCTTTTACATGATAAAGCTTCTAGGTAAAGGAGCATCAGCTGTCTAAATTTGCGTTACAAGAGGTGAAGGCTGGGTGTGTTTTCCTCCGGGAGCTGACGACATAAATAATCGGGAAATTGAAACGGTTGTGTCGGTACCCTGCGTGAGTGAGGTCGGGCAGGGTTGGGTTTATAAGGTTGGATATTCGATGTTCATTTTCTGCCTATTAGAGGCTTTGTCAGTTTTCAGGCTTGTTAGGATTCCGGGCGAAGCTTGGACATAAGTGCGGGATGCAGTATCGTAATTTTGGTCTTGTGTTGGCTGAGCTGATTTCGTGTTGCGTTGGGCAGAATGACGAAATCGTCGCACCCATACCAAGCATATGCACACCCGCCTTCCATGGCAGTGCTGATAACCGGATTGTGTAGCATTGTATTCCAGAGACAGATTTGGCAAGGTTTTTCAGCAAATCATCCACTTGTTAATTAAACTTGGAATGTAAATGGTGGCACCCCTTATCTGTGAAACTAAGTCGGCCTTATTTTTATCCTATTAGTATTCTGATTTGTGTGATATAGACTATGTTATTTTTATATAATGTAGAAAGTGAGTGATAAATCAATCCCAAATATGAGGTTTGACCAAAACAGGGTTGGCAAGTATGGTCTCAGTCATAGTTTTGTTGGATTTGTCAGAACATTTTGGGTTTATTAATATCTTGCAGAAGAGCCTCTATTCAGCAGTATGTGCCTTGTCAGCCCTGACCCTGATGATGTGCTAAAGCCCTGATCCAGTTGCCCTCATCTCTTGAAAAATTAGCATTTCTTTACCATGCCACTGTGCATAGAATGAACATGAGTGACAGTCATGTCTTGGTCACCTTAATGCATGTTCTTGCTTTTCATCCCTTACCTTATTGTACCAGACCATGAAAGAACCTGCATGCTTAGCATTACTTACTGGAGTTTGGTCAATCACCATGCCATACTATGGCATGATGATTGATTGCAGTGCTAAATCACATATAATAATGGTTTCTGGGGGGCCAGGACTTATGATAGCTTAGACCGGCCTTTGCTAGTGAAGCAGCATGATGGAACCATGTGCAGGTATCAGACTGTTTCTGCCCAGAAAATAAAAATGATCAGTCTCCATTGTTGTGCTGCAGCTCTTTAATAAACCCAACTGAGTACATAGCAAGAGTGAGATACTTGATTATGAGATGGAGGTGGTACTGAGGTGAAAACATTGGATAATTGACAGGCCTCACACAGCACAATGGACAATTTGGTTTTTGCTGTGTGCTGTTTTGCTCCATTCATAGCAGAAATGTGTACAGTAGGGTTGAAAATATCTGTGCTCTGCAATCATGAAAAAACTATCAGAGTCTGATTCCACCATATTTAGATATTGTGGTCTAATTAATCACCTGGATATCTGTTTAATCTGGCATCAGTTCTTGTGGCCCCCTTAATAATTATGTGCTGTGTGTTTGTCTCATAGCTGTATGCTTGTCATTTAAGAATGTGAAAATCACCTAAAATGGGTAAAATATCAACTAACCCTCATGAGGGTATTGGCACTACCAGAATATGATTTTGTAACAAGCATAAGTTCTCAGAATACCCACCTTATTTCTATGGTATCCACCTTTCTCTAGGAGCTTCCCATACTGTGTATCAGTTCAGCGAAGTTTTGGTCTTACCATGCCTATTGGGAGGCAAGCATCACTTGGTAGTGCTTTCACTGTGGCAATATTTTAGTACATGTAATTAACCCTACAAATTTAATTTAGCCCCTGACTTGAACTTTCCATATAGGAATAGCAATGGGGTGATAGGCACTATTACCAATGTCTGTCTATCAAATGGCTAACTGTCATGGTTTGTGATGTGAGTGTGGATGGATGTATCACACTGTATGCCTCTGTTACAGGAAATCACCCAGTTACATTATAAATCTGAAAGATCCGAACTGAAACAAAATGACGAAGAACTTCTTTTTCCGCCAGGTTTGTAGCCTTTTTGTGAGATCATGGTCATTTGTCTTTGGTGAATGATATGTTAGAAAGCATCTTCCTGCTCTACCTCCCACATACTGTCTTATTAGTATTGTGGAAGTCTTCCTACGAACTGCCAAAGCTGACTGATTCAGTTGGTGCCAAAGGCTCACCTCTCTGTTATTCGATATTTTGGTCATGAATAGTCATGTGTGTTTTTTTCTTTAGCACTCAAACACCATTGTTGCAGCTGGTGCAGGCTGCTTTTCCTTGGCTGTCCACATGTTACACTGGTGTGGTGTAACTGGAGTGCCTCCCCCCCCCCCCCCATTCTTGTCATTCTGTGGCAGATTGGGCCCAATGAGCCATAGAATATTCTGAGAAGTTGTGATGAAATCAAGGTGAGAAATAGAGACAGCAACTTTTGTTTGTAGCATCCCTCAATGGTTATTCCAGTTAACGTATTCTTCAAGCAGCAGTGTTTGCGAAAGCGGGAAATGACTGCTACGTCTTGCAGAGTGGGGTAGATGGAGATGCCTAAGAGAGTTGTCTTCCAAATCAACCTTTGTATCACAAGGTGCCTGATGCTGGCATTTTCAGTTGCTGACCCTTCCACGTGTTGTCATTTTCTATGCATGGTTGAGATCTCACCATTCGTTGGTCCTGTGTTATAGCACCTCGGTTGTGGTGAGGCCCCATATTTTTTCTTGTTTATGTGCCTGATATCCCATGTTTACCGTAAACTGTAACATACCTTCCCATCCCTTCCCATCATGATCTGCTGTGTTTTACCACACTGCATAATTGTGTGATTGTACAAGCTCTGCACACTTCATACTCATTTCCATCTCTGGTCTGACCTGTACCACTGACTGAGGCTGTACAGCGAGAGTCCCAGCTGACCTGTACCACTGACTGAGGCTGTACAGTGAGAGCCCCAGTTGGCCTGTACCACTGACTGAGGCTGTACAGCGAGAGCCCCAGCTGACCTGTACCACTGACTGAGGCTGTACAGCGAGAGCCCCAGCTGACCTGTACCACTGTCTGAGGCTGTACAGTGAGAGCCCCATCTGACCTGTACCACTGACTGAGGCTGTACAGTGAGAGCCGCAGCTGACCCGTACCACTGACTGAGGCTGTACAGTGAGAGCCCTAGTTGGCCTGTACCACTGTCTGAGGCTGTACAGCGAGAGCCCCAGCTGACCTGTGCCACTGACTGAGGCTGTACAGCTAGAGTCCCAGCTGACCTGTACCACTGACTGAGGCTGTACAGCGAAAGCCCCAGCTGACCTGTGCCACTGACTGAGGCTGTACAGCTAGAGTCCCAGCTGACCTGTACCACTGACTGAGGCTGTACAGCGAAAGCCCCAGCTGACCTGTGCCACTGACTGTGTGGCTGTACAGCTAGAGTCCCAGCTGACCTGTACCACTGACTGAGGCTGTACAGTGAGAACCCCAGCTGACCCATACCACTGACTGAGGCTGTACAGCGAGAGCCCCAGCTGACCTGTACCACTGACTGTGTGGCCCAACACGGTCAGCTGTTCGACAGGGAGAGCTGCACTTACACGTACCTGCTGGCGGATGTGGCCAGCAAGGAGGCCGTCATCATCGACCCCGTGATCGAGCTCTCCGACCGGGACGCCCAGCTGGTCAGCGACCTCGGCTTCAAACTCGTCTATGCCAGTAAGTAGACCTGTTCACGTTGTGTGGCTTTCTGGCTGCTTTTCTGCGTCAGTGCTGGTTTTTACAGCTGTTGGCATTGATACTGGTATGTTTTCGAGTCCGCGCTGCACTGCCAGCGTTGATGTAGGTCATGTTGCGGCTGGTATGGTGTAGGGTTACTCATTTGGTGCCTCTTGGTGATATTCCCACCGACTTGCGCTCTTTACCACATCAACTGAATGCGTACTGCTGACCGGGCTTCACCACCGGTGTGCTCGGTGCCTGTCTGGACACGCCGTCTGATTGCTCTTTAGCTAACTCGCACCCTCCGTGGTGGCTGCTTGTCGTGACCGGACATCCTGACCTGTGATCTGACCTGTGACTGGAAGGACAGCACCCTCTCCAGGTCCCGGGGTCGTAGCAGACCCACGTGACCCACGCGCCCGCTTAGGTCATCCTAAGTGACCTTGCACCCAGCCATGCCCTAGCCAGTGACCTATCCCAGAGGGGCGTGTTCGCCGAGTGGTTCGCATTTTCGGCTCCTACATGTGGGGCCCGGCTTCGAACCCCGGTTGCGCCTTGGCCCCCTGATTGCTTATGTGGCCTCTGCAGTTGCTGGCCCTCCTTGACTGGCTGCGCGGTGACGTGCGTCGTGTTTCCTTTCTCAAGAAAAGGAGATCTGTTAGGCGGTGCTCACTCCTTACCGGGCCGTGTCCACTCCACACCGGACCCGTGTCCACTCCTCACCAGGCCGTGTCCACTCCTCACCAGGCCGTGTCCACTCCTTACCAGGCCGTGTCCACTCCACACCGAACTCGTGTCCACTCCTAACCGGGTCGTGTCCACTTCTTACTGGACATTTGTCCACTCCTCACCGGACCCGTGTCCTGACCTCGCCCCCGGCCCTGCCGCCAGTCAACACGCACATGCACGCGGACCACATCACGGGCACGGGCCGGCTGAAGCGGCTGGTGCCGGGCGCCCGGTCGGCCATCTCGGCGGCGGCCGGCGCCGACGCGGACGTCAAGCTGGAGGACGGCGGCGCGGTGCGGTTCGGCGGACTGGAGCTGGAGGTGCGCGCCACGCCCGGTCACACCGAAGGTGGGTCACCTGCCCCGAGGCGGAGGTGCGCGCCACGCCCGGCCACACCGAAGGTGGGTCACCTGCCCCGAGACGGAGGTGCGTGCCACGCCCGGCCACACCGAAGGTGGGTCACCTGCCCCGAGGCGGAGGTGCGCGCCACACCCGGCCACACCGAAGGTGGGTCACCTGCCCCGAGGCGGAGGTGCGCGTCACGCCCGGCCACACCGAAGGTGGGTCACCTGCCCCGAGGCGGACACGGGGTGAAGAAGCGGGGTAGAGGTGGCGGATGGTGGGTAAAAGTGAAAGGGAGGCCTGAAATAAAGTGACGAAATAGTGCAGTGAGTGTAATATAATGTAAACATAAATAGGTGAGCTGGAATGACTTGGCGGTTGATACTGGGTAAATGTGAGTGCAGTTGTTTGGGCGTCATGTTTGACACAGATCTTGCGTGCCGTAATCCATGTGCTGTGCATTAACAGCATCAGATCTGTCAGCTGGCTGCGCTGTTCACAATGTTTCTTGATGTGCAAAGTGCTTCACTGTCAGCCTCAAGTGGAACCAATCGTAGCCTAGCAGTATCACATCTGTCACCGCCCCTTGCCGTGCTCCAGGCCACATGACTCGTCTTCCCTCGCAGTATCACATCTGTCACCTCCCCTGCCGTGCTCCAGACCACGTGACGTGTCCACCCTCACAGTATCACGTCTGTGACTGTGCTCCGCCGCGCCGCAGGCTGCGTGACGTGTCCACCCTCGCAGTATCACGTCTGTGACTGTGCGCCGCAGGCTGCGTGACGTGTCCACCCTCGCAGTATCACGTCTGTGACTGTGCGCCGCAGGCTGCGTGACGTGTCCACCCTCACAGTATCACGTCTGTGACTGTGCGCCGCAGGCTGCGTGACGTGTCCACCCTCGCAGCATCACGTCTGTGACTGTACGCCGCAGGCTGTGTGACGTGTCCACCCTCGCAGTATCACGTCTGTGACTGTGCGCCGCAGGCTGCGTGACGTGTCCACCCTCGCAGTATCACATCTGTCACCTCCCCTGCCGTGCTCCAGACCACGTGACGTGTCCACCCTCACAGTGTCACGTCTGTGACCGTGCTCCGCCGCGCCGCATGCTGCGTGACGTTTCCACCCTCGCAGTATCACATCTGTCACCGCCCCCCGCAGTGCTCCAGACCACGTGACGTGTCCACCCTCACAGTATCACGTCTGTGACTGCTCCGCCGCGCCGCAGGCTGCGTGACGTGTCCACCCTCGCAGTATCACGTCTGTGACTGTGCGCCGCAGACTGCGTGACGTGTCCACCCTCGCAGTATCACGTCTGTGACTGTGCGCCGCAGGCTGCGTGACGTGTCCACCCTCACAGTATCACGTCTGTGACTGTGCGCCGCAGGCTGCGTGACGTGTCCACCCTCGCAGCATCACGTCTGTGACTGTGCGCCGCAAGCTGCGTGACGTGTCCACCCTCGCAGTATCACGTCTGTGACTGTGCGCCGCAGGCTGCGTGACGTGTCCACCCTCGCAGTATCACATCTGTCACCGCCCCCTGCCGTGCTCCAGACCACGTGACGTGTCCACCCTCGCAGTATCACGTCTGTGACCGTGCTCCGCCGCGCCGCAGGCTGCGTGACGTACGTGCTGCACTCGCAGCGGATGTGCTTCACCGGCGACGCCCTGCTGATCCGGGGCTGCGGGCGGACCGACTTCCAGGTGAGCGGCGCCGTCCGGCCCACCGGGTCGACCCTCCTGAGACGTGAACTGGCATCAAAATGAGTTGCCATTGTACGTGTTTGGTGGCCCAGGCTCATTGTTAAGCGCTATGTACAGCAGTGACTGGTTGTGCCGCTCACGCTTTCACTGCAGTGTCTGCGAAGCGGTCTCCTTAGTTGGGCTTCTGTTGCGTCTCCTCCGCAGCTGGGGCCTGAGGCCGCGTGTCTCCGTTGCAGGGCGGCTCCAGCGACACGCTGTTCGACTCGGTGCACCAGAGGATCTTCACGCTGCCCGAGGACTACGCCGTGTACCCGGCGCACGACTACAAGGGTGAGCTGGTGCCGTCACGCGCCGTCGCGTCACGCCGTCACGTCTCGTCACGCGCCGGCTGACGCGAGACCTTGCGCGTGTCGCTGCCTGTCCCGTTATCTCCCACCGCCAGCTGTGCTCAACTACTGACGCCATGCGTTGATGGGAAGGTGTTGAATTAGCGGGCGGGCACCACAGAGGGTTGCGTGAGTGTAGGTGCTGACGTTTTGCATTGTGAATGCCTTGGCTTCGCAGTGCGGCGTTATTGAAGAACTCCCTCGCTTTTTCGAGGTACGCTCTCGTGTTATTGAAGCACAGCCTCGTGTTATTGAGGCACGCCCTCGCGTTGTTGAAGTAAGCCCTCGCGTTTTTTTTATTAATTACAGCCTCGTGTTATTGCAGCACGCCCTCCCATGTGTACAGTCAGTGACGTCCTGTGCTGTTCACCCCACACTCACTTAGCAGCAGGCGTATCGTATTCGTGCGCTCTTATTAGCTCAGGCAGGACACCCGAACGGCGACGTTAAACAATGGTTCACGTTCTCTTGCGACCGGGCGGTCGTTGATCTGTAGTGTGACCGGACGCCTGTCCCGCGGGTCAGGCTGGTCTGTAGCGTGACCGGACGCCTGTCCCGCGGCTCAGGCTGGTCTGCAGTGTGACCGGACGCCTGTCCCGCGGCTCAGGCCGGTCCGTAGTGTGGCCGGGCGCCTGTCCCGCGGCTCAGGCTGGTCTGCAGTGTGACCGGACGCCTGTCCCGCGGCTCAGGCCGGTCCGTAGTGTGGCCGGGCGCCTGTCCCGCGGTTCAGGCTGGTCTGTAGTGTGACCGGACGCCTGTCCCGCGGGTCAGGCTGGTCTGTAGTGTGACCGGACGCCTGTCCCGCGGGTCAGGCTGGTCTGTAGTGTGACCGGGCGCCTGTCCCGCGGCTCAGGCCGGTCCGTAGTGTGGCCGGGCGCCTGTCCCGCGGCTCAGGCTGGTCTGTAGTGTGACCGGACGCCTGTCCCGCGGCTCAGGCTGGTCTGTAGTGTGACCGGACGCCTGTCCCGCGGCTCAGGCCGGTCTGTAGTGTGACCGGACGCCTGTGCGGTGGCTCAGGCTGGTCTGTAGTGTGACCGGACGCCTGTCCGGCGGTTCAGGCTGGTCTGTAGTGTGACCGGACGCCTGTCCCGCGGGTCAGGCTGGTCTGTAGTGTGACCGGACGCCTGTCCCGCGGCTCAGGCTGGTCTGTAGTGTGACCGGACGCCTGTCCCGCGGCTCAGGCCGGTCTGTAGTGTGACCGGACGCCTGTGCGGTGGCTCAGGCTGGTCTGTAGTGTGACCGGACGCCTGTCCGGCGGTTCAGGCTGGTCTGTAGTGTGACCGGACGCCTGTCCCGCGGGTCAGGCTGGTCTGTAGTGTGACCGGACGCCTGTCCCGCGGCTCAGGCTGGTCTGTAGTGTGACCGGACGCCTGTCCCGCGGCTCAGGCTGGTCTGTAGTGTGACCGGACGCCTGTCCCGCGGCTCAGGCTGGTCTGTAGTGTGACCGGACGCCTGTCCCGCGGCTCAGGCTGGTCTGTAGTGTGACCGGACGCCTGTCCCGCGGCTCAGGCCGGTCTGTAGTGTGACCGGACGCCTGTGCGGTGGCTCAGGCTGGTCTGTAGTGTGACCGGACGCCTGTCCGGCGGTTCAGGCTGGTCTGTAGTGTGACCGGACGCCTGTCCCGCGGGTCAGGCTGGTCTGTAGTGTGACCGGACGCCTGTCCCGCGGCTCAGGCTGGTCTGTAGTGTGACCGGACGCCTGTCCCGCGGCTCAGGCCGGTCTGTAGTGTGACCGGACGCCTGTGCGGTGGCTCAGGCTGGTCTGTAGTGTGACCGGACGCCTGTCCGGCGGTTCAGGCTGGTCTGTAGTGTGACCGGACGCCTGTCCCGCGGGTCAGGCTGGTCTGTAGTGTGACCGGACGCCTGTCCCGCGGCTCAGGCTGGTCTGTAGTGTGACCGGACGCCTGTCCCGCGGCTCAGGCTGGTCTGTAGTGTGACCGGACGCCTGTCCCGCGGCTCAGGCTGGTCTGTAGTGTGACCGGACGCCTGTCCCGCGGCTCAGGCTGGTCTGTAGTGTGACCGGACGCCTGTCCCGCGGCTCAGGCCGGTCTGTAGTGTGACCGGACGCCTGTGCGGTGGCTCAGGCTGGTCTGTAGTGTGACCGGACGCCTGTCCCGCGGGTCAGGTTGGTCTGTAGTGTGACCGGACGCCTGTCCCGCGGCTCAGGCCGGTCCGTAGTGTGGTCGGGCGCCTGTCCCGCGGCTCAGGCTGGTCTGTAGTGTGACCGGACGCCAGTCCCGCGGCTCAGGCTGGTCTGTATTGTGACCGGACGCCAGTCCCGCGGCTCAGGCCGGTCTGTAGTGTGACCGGACGCCTGTCCCGCGGGTCAGGCTGGTCTGTAGTGTGACCGGACGCCTGTGCCGTGGCTCAGGCTGGTCTGTAGTGTGACCGGACGCCTGTCCCGCGGTTGAGCCTGAGCCTCACCGTGTGCCCCGGCCGCCGCCAGGTCAGACGGCCAGCTCGGTGGGCGAGGAGAAGCGCCTGAACCCGCGACTCACCCGCTCGCGCCAGGAATTCTGCGCCATCATGGCCGGCCTCAACCTGGCCTACCCCAAGAAGATCGACGTGGCGCTGCCGGCGAACCGGGTGTGCGGCCTGCACAACATCCCCGACGAGATCGCCGCGCTGTTCGCTGAGAAGTAGGTGAGCTGGCCGGCCCTGCCAGCGCTGGCGCCAGGTGCCGGCCCGCGCCGGAGAACGCTGGGTGGACGCCGCGGAGAATGGGGAGACTGCCGGCGAGATGGGGCGAGGTGGGAGGAGTGAGGTGCGCTGGGTGGACGTCGTAGCGGATAGGTGAGCTCTGCCGGCGGGAGGAGCGAGCCGCGCTGGGTAGAGATGTGAGAGGTGTAGCGAGGGGGGGGGGTTGCTGCTGCTGCTGCTGCTGCTGCTGAAGTGGGAACTTACTCAGTTGGACTGCTGGCTGCTGTCTGTGATCGGGGTGTAGAGCTGCGTTGGCCACGTAGCGCTGCGATGAGCACGGGTTCTCTGGCGGGAGCACCGCTCCAGCTGTGACCCCTCGTAGGGAGACGTCACCTCTGGCGGAGGTAACTGATTGGCTCGCCTCGAGGCCCCGACACTCTGACCGCGGAGAAAGGCCGGTAGCGGACAGCGATAGTGGGACAGGAAGATAGCGGTCATCCGGGATATGTAGGGAGGCGTAGCGAAGGTCCATTCCGTGCCACTGACCACGTGCCTGGTGTTGGCAGAGTGGCGGGAGGGCACTGAACTACCGCCCCACATATTTTCAGTAGCGGAGGGACTGTACGGTGCAGCGGGCTTAGCTGTAGAAGGCGTTACGGGTAAAGGCCGTTAAGTGCCCAGCTTCTACGGCGGCGTGAGAGGCTCTGGCGTGTGGCGATGTGAGTGGTTGATCAAACGCAATTGACGAGACTGATGTACACGGCCTCTCTACCGCGAGTAGCTCTGGATCTTGTGGACTTCCTCCTGGAAGGGGTTTGGCTATAATTAGGATATTACACTACGTATGTTGTGAACTATAGATAATACTCTCCCCATGATGCGTCACTAGTCCATGAACTGGACGATAAGTGCTCCAGGCCATTTAGTCTCGCGCCGACGATGGCCGTTTCAGTACTGTGTTCACCTGGATCGCGATACCGTTGATATTGGCATAACAATAACGGTGGTGGTGGTACGTCTTGCGGACGTGTGTGGGTGATGGTGTCACGTGTTGGTGTCGTGCTCGTGTTTGAGCCCTGTTTCGTAAGGTCACGAGGCCGGTGACCACGCCGCCTTTCACGAGGTTCCCACATTACACGACACTGGTGTCGTCACTGTCCAGCCATGTCCCGTGCGGCGCCCCAGTGCCCGTTGTTCCGGTACAAACAGCGACGAAGTCGTGCACCACGCGATGGCTGTGCCTGCAGCCGCGCTACCTTACCGACAGACCGTGCCCGCGGGCATCCGCCCCCGCTCCTGCCGCCACCGCCTCTCCCGCCCCCGCCGACCCGCCCGCTTCCGCTCCTGGTCCGGTCCAGCCCCGCAGCCGCAGCCGCCGCCGCCGCAGCGGCGGTCACCCCGCCAACTGTGCCTGCCGCCGCGGTCGCCGCTCGGCGCCCGAGTCGAGCCGCTGCTATCGAGCCAATCAGCGACGAGGCGGCCGCCCGCAATAGCCAATCAGATCACGCCGCCGGTTGCCTGCAGCCAATACGCGGCAAGCGGGTGGGCCGCAGCGCCAATCAGGTTCAGTGGGCAGATACGGAGCCAATGAGACTGATCGGCGGGCTGTGCGCAGCCAATTGGAGCCTCACCACCTGATGTGAACCGCGAATCGTGTGTGCTGATGCGGTGTGATAACCAATCTCATTGCAAGTGCGTCTTTACATTCATGATTTGTCGTACAGAATTGGCGGCATGGCCATTTTGTAGCATTGACAAGTGGTATTCTGGGAATTTAACACTGTTTTATATTAACCTAAGCTATAAATTGGCCGTTAGTGATCGACATATTCTATACAATGTGCTTAATGTTGGGTTGTTTCTATTTTTATATCACAGCGTAACATGTGCGCATCGTTGGATTTATAAATCGTTAGTAGCATTAGCCGTGCACAATCGATGAGTCCGTGGCTGTGCGTGTTACGTAATGGTTTGTATGGGAAACGAAATACATTTACCACATTATATGCATTTTTGCTTCATTCTTCGCATGTGGGAGGAAGGAACGGTGGACAGCGTCAGCCCCTGTGGGGCCGACGCCACGGTAAATGATCGGTTACAACAAGCGTCGTCTCTGGACAATTATTTTGCCTGCAAAAGAAGAACAAGAACAGCAGAGGAAGTTATATGACACACGATCTGTAGTGCACACGTGCATTGAGCACAAAGTAAGCGCTGAACACAAGCAATGGGGACCAGGTGTTGTTAGATTTTGCATTTCAACGTGCGCGCGTGCAGGTTTGCTGCTTTCATCGTCAGGCTAACATTTGAGATATTCCCAAGTTTGGATCCAAAGCTGTGATACATTGGGCTCCAGCGGAAGCGTAGTGCTGGTATATCTCCCGTTGAAAGAACGGAAACACAAGAGGCATGTCGCCTCGAGCGAGAGTTAATTCCGTGACTTGTGTTTAGTGTGGCATGCAGACGCTTTGGTATGTTGCGATTCCGTTCGGAGGCAGTGTGAGTATGGTGGCGTTGATGGCGGACGCCTTGTTGCCTGTGTGTGCTCGTGTCAGGTATGACGGCAGTAAGGTAGTGTCGGTAGTGATGCAGGTAGTGCAGGTAGTGTTGGTTGTTGATGTTGTGGACAGTGCCAGTGTTTGCATGTGTCTCTTCGTGTCTTGGTTGTGCTCCATCCTAAATTGGTCAATAGTGAGCGAGTGTGTACTGCAGAGTGTGCCAGTGACTAGTCTAGCTGCACTGTGTTGTCTTTTGAGTCTGAGGGTGCCGCTGGTTGTCAAGATACCGTCATAAACTGCTTCACGATAGTCAAAGAACGGAAGAATGTACGCCGTTGCATATTGTTGGTGATGCAACGCGGCGAGAACTATGATGATGGGTGGGGAGTGCCGAGGGCTCTGTTGATTTGGAAAATCAATACAAGTGTTACCAACGTGCTGATGGCAGTGCATGCCAGTGGATATCCCCAGGCCCAGGTTTTCGTGCACTGTGAAGGAAGGGAAGGTTGGTCATCAAAACCCATGTCCGGTGAGCTGCGTGTGTTTCTACCGGTGAGTGTTTGTTGATTCGTCTTCGTGCTGTCAGATATGATGAGTGAGCCTTTCGTGACGTCGGACGCGATTAGCCTGCCTGTCCCGAGTTCCGGTTTGTTCTGTGAGTCGTTTGTGAGTGATGATGTGACGGCTGTGAGTGAGTGACGACGTGAATTTGTTCTGTGAGTGACGACGTGAGTTTGTTCTCTGAGTGACGACGTGAGTTTGTCCTGTGAGTGACGACGTGAGTTTGTCCTGTGAGTGACGACGTGAGTTTGTTCCGTGAGTGACGGCTGTGCGAATGTGGGGTACCGCGAGCGTAAAGTGCAAATAGTGCAATCCTGCCAATAGGCTAGATACCGCTGACCGATCGTCACGTTACGTTACCAACCGGTAGCTCTCCCACAGTGCAATCAAATGCAAACGGTGACATCCTGCCCGGACAGTTTTTTAGAAACGCTTGTTAAAGCCATGTATTTGTAAAGGACTGACTATCTTAGCCAACCCACACTACGATGTGCCGCCCGCACTACGTAGCGCCCTTTTTAATAAGTTGTGTAAGTATTCAATTGTTACAAAAACATGTTAAGTATGTTTGGTTTTCAGCAAGTGTAATGCCAACAAAATGGACGTCTTCTGTTGAGGGCCACGCCCCCGGTGCCAGCCGAAAGCGCTCGCATAGTATTATCGAATGCTCACGGTCGCACTCTCTGGGTACGATTGTACGTATCTGTAAAGAGCTGCCGGCACTTAAGTCCCGGCGAGACCGGTCGCTCACATTCGGTGATGTGATGTCATCGGGTCATGTTAATACAGTGCGTCCATTCTTCCCAGCAAGGGGTAACGGTGTCGTTTGTTAACCCGTTGCTCACTGCTACCAAATGTACACGTACAAACCTCCCACCTGCAACTGTAGGCATCTTTAAATTGCTACCGCAACTTCGTCACCACGCAAGGTTAGGCCGTCCGCGCTCAGTTATGCGGGTCTCTGCTGTAGCAGGGGGTCATAGCAACAAAATAGAATAGTTCGACTGGGAGCGGTGTTACGGAGCCAGTACACAGCCCTTTTAATTAATATTTTTCTAATATTAATATAATGTATAATGTTAGTTTCTAAGACGATATAATATTATTTTCTAAGATAAAATAATATTGTTTTCTACGATAATATAATATTATTTTCCAATATTAACATTTTTCTTAACTTCGCTAGCACGGTCCGGGCTGCATATTAGGTAATGCGCTGCCGGAGGTAATGCCAATAAAATGGTTCTTCTAAGCGAGGTGTTAAGGTCCTAGCTGATAGTGCTTCCACACTAATGAAACGCATGAGGTTACACTCTCAGCGCACAACTTCAACTTGTGTCGCGAGTGTCGCGTTGTTAAATGGCTCCGTATTGTAAACTGGCTGCTGTTTTGTCAAACGGCTGTTGTATTGTTATGCGTCTTTATAAAAAATTGCCGCAACTCAGCCAATCCTCACTCCAGGTACACGCTAGCTTTTTCTAATCCTCTGTCAAGGGGGGGGGGGGCACCGGTAACATGTGATCCTCCGGCCGATCGCGATGTTATGGCCCCAGTTAATATCCCTCCCACAGAACTATCAAACGCACGAGGTCATGAAATGAAATGGTTCCTTAAGCCAATAACAGTGTTGTGGCACCAATGGACAGCCTTTTTGCGGTTCAATGGAATGAACACAGTTGCAATGTCCGTGCGCGATTAATGGTGTGTTTTTTAAGGTGCTGTGGCGTGGCAAGCCGACAGCATTCGGTAATGCGCTTTCCTAGCGGCATGCCAATGAAAAGCATGTCTTCTGCTGAGCGCGGTGCCAGCTGTAAGCCCTCGCACAGTGCTATCAACAGCACACGCTTTTACCTTCTGCACATGACTAAATGTTTGGAAACAGCTGTCGTACTTTTGCTGCAACGCTCCGACCGACCACACGCATTTGGTGATGTGATGTCTAAAATAATTTCAATAGCTGCGTTATCCCGAGCAATGCATTGAGGTGCCAGCACCATTAATAACTCCCAGTTGAGGGCCCCCAATCGAGCCGATGGCTGTTGGTCTCAAAGGCCTCAAAGGACCGCTCAAGGCTTGAATGGGCCTGCGCTCTCCCCACCTCCCTCAGTCAGTCTCGGAAGAGGTGCCCCTGGCCGTCATGCCGGCGTGCATGACAAGGTTGTGGTCTGTGCCATCTGTCGGCTATTGTCGGCACTCAGAGTTCCACAGCGGCCGGCACACGCGCTCCGCCCGTTTTGGCCTGGGCGCTCGCGTACCTGGCGGCGCGGCCGGGCAGTTTGTTCTGGCCAAACTGCTGCTGCCGGCCGTCCGCGCTGACCGTGTTCACACGAGCCACGGACACCTGCTGTAACGCGGGCCGTCATTGGCCTAGCGCCAGAGAGCCGCCCGCTGATTGGCCGAGATTGGGGTTTCCAGGCGGGCCGTCCCAGAGAAAGTCGTCGCCATACCTTGTGGAGCGCCGAGGAGGGTGGTGCGCCACGGACCTCCGTCTGGAATTGCAGTGCTGTTTCTCGCGTGCTGGCATCGTGTGACGGAGTGCGTACGTAGTGCGCCGCGGCGTCGTCTCTCGCGCCCGAGTCACGCAGGAGTCGGCTCGGACTCTCCGGAGTCGGTGCTGGAATTCGGCCGAGCCGCGCTCGGGCCGCAGTGACCGTGCCAGAGCGGCGGCCAGTGATGACGTAGGCCGGCGGGGTGGAGAGCGCCGCCATGTGGAGATCGCTGCCGCTGCTGCTGCTGCCGCTGCTGCTGGCATGGACGGGAGTGCAGCAAGGTGAGTTACGTTTCGTGACGTCACGTTACGTTACGTTACGGAGCCACCTCGAGGAGCTGGTCACGGACATGTCCGTTTGTGAGGTAGTGTGGCCTCGTGGCCAACCGTACAAACAAAATTCCCTGCAAATTGTAACTGTACCAGTGGAACGCGTTCGAAACACCGTGCAACTCGCTGCTGTGGGAAGGCGTGCGTCCCAAAGGAAAGCACGCGTTCTTGCAGCCGGGTGTGGTGTCACCGCGTTTTCCACTCGAGTTCAGCCGACACGATTCTAAAGCGGGTTGAGCAATCCGCTGCTGTTACGCCCACTTGACGCTCAGTACAGTTGGTTTACGAACTTAAGCGATGACTGGCGGGCAGCGGCGGTGATTTTTTTTGGCTGGCGGGGAGTGAAACGGACGTGGTAGGTATCCGCGTCATCGACAAAAAGCTGACGTTATCACTCTTAGTCTGGGCGCTTTATGACTGCGGTGTCGAAGCGCCCGGAAGCCTCAATTACTTCAACCCTCTTACTCGGCATGGACACTCGCCTTGCAGGCTTGAGGAGCCCCGCCGCGCCTGGTTCCGGGCATCCGTGTCTGGGCCGTGAAGGCCCATATATCCCCGCCAGCCCGTGTAAGCCTATGTATTCCCGCCGGCCCCTGTAAGCCTACGTATCCCCACCTGCCGGTGTAAGCCGATGCATCCCCACCAGCCTGTGTAAGCCGATGCATCCGTGTCTCGGCTCGGGTGAGCAGCTGTGTGAGGAACGGCTCACCAGGCTCGTACCGAGAAGTCGTGCTGCGTCACGTGGCGCGGTCCGGCGGGAGGGAGACGCTGTTTGTCAGATCGCCGACGGGGCCGCGCCAGCCTGAGGCGGGCGTGGCGGCCCCGGCGGTCGCGAGCTGCCCCGGTCCCTCCCAGTAAGAGCGGCCGGGGTCGCTCTGGGGGGGCCGGGGCCGTTCTGAGGAGCCGGGGCCGCTCTGCCTAAGATGGGTCGGGACTGGAATGACCTGACGTTTGAAGACAAGTATTGTCTAAAACGCCTAGCGGTTGGCAGATTTAGACGCCCGTAAGTTGATGGTGCGCAAGTCAGCAAAAGCGCACCTCGTGGTGCCCAAATAGAGAGATATGTGCACATGTCCTTCTCGCAAGGCTTTTGCAATTGAAGGGCAACAAATTTCTTGCACACGAGCTTCGGTACAACACGATCAACGCCCTTTTGGCCCATTCAGTCTGCATATCGCCGAAGATATCCCAGTTTTGGCCACATCTGATGACGGTGATTGGTGGATGTATGGGTGCACAAGCCGCTCTACGCACATGTTTGGATATGTGTGCTCAACCAGTCAGTGCTTCGTTTCGGCCTGCGAACGATGCCATGAGTGCAGGCCTGTTTTGAAGCGCCTGAGGTTCTGGAAATCGCTACAGCATGACAAGCGGAGTCCCCTCTGGGAAACGTGATGTTATGGTGCCTCGTCCTCCATACCTCTGCCCACGGGAGGACGTGTATGGGCCCTCAGCTTCGTGGTGTCTCAAACGAACAGAGCTGCCTTCAGATAAGCCCTGCTGTGTGCCGAACGAGCGGAACTGCCCTAAAACCCATCACACACACAGCTGAGGGTACCCCAAGTTTACCAGGGTCTCCGCACTATGTTTTGGAGCCTCCGGCCATTATAAAACCGGTTTTCAAGTGAGGAAAGCACGGCGAGAGGTAGCCCTCGATTGCACCCAATTCAGCTACAGTTAACAGTTAGCTTAAATCACGAACTAGACCAAGTCAAGACCGGAGTCATGGTATCGCACCTCAGGCTTTCCTCCACGGAGGGTAAATCTCAGCACGCCGCGTGACTGCAGCGGGGCGTTGACCCCCTCATTATCCATGCAGGGAGGCTGCGTGCGTAGCCGGGAATTTTTTACGCCGCCCACCCCGGCCCTCCGAGCAGCTGATGCTATCTTTGAACTCTGCTCTCATTCCATAGGCATGTCGCGCCCGCGTGCTCTGAAGCACCTCTGGGCCATGCCACGTACGCGCCGCCAGACGCAGCGGAGCGCGGACGTGAAGTCTCGCGGCATTTCCATCCCTCCTAATCGTCTTACGTTTACCGCGCCGGAAACCCCCCCGGAAAGCATTGTCGTGAAATAGACCGTCTCGTCTCACGTGACCCCGATCCGCCGCTCTCTCCCTCTGTCTGTTTGTTTCGGCTGTCGGCACGCCGCGCGCGCCAGCCTCCAGCGGGTCACAGTAGCATCGCCGTCGTCACGATGCGCCCCCTGCACGCTACTCATCTGAGCGCTCGTGGGCCCGGCTGCAAAGAGGAACACCTGGCGGTATGTGCTGCTGATGATTGATAAGCTCATTTCCACCCGCGACCTGTTTCTGCCTCGGCTAGTAGAAGTAACGGATGGGCGAAGCCAGGAGAATTGCGCCGAGATTTAGAATAAGAAGATCGTGAATCAGGGCTGAAACGCGCAATATAGGTGACAATAGGTTCACCCGCACGGGGCAATCACAAACCCATGCGCTGTACTTTCCGCGGGTCTGTTTGGGGCATGGAATTGGTGTGGCGCGTTCTCTTATAGATGCCACTATTATTCATCGCTGATAACTCGGAGACTGCATCAACATTGGAGGACAGAAAGGGGTCACGCGAGCGTAATGGTTAACAAAACACCGGGACGCCATGTCCAAAGCGTTGAGTTAATTCACTCCGTGTCTCACCTTTCTTCTAAAAGATTGATGACATCCCACATCCGTCCCGAAAGGAAACTCGCTAAAACAACTGTGAGCTGTTCCATGAAATAAAAGTGCAAAACCTCGCAATTCCAAATCGTGCCATTTCAACACGCAGCGAAAAAAACATATGCTTCAACTCGCAAGTCATGACTTAAAGAAGGTGCTTTAGAACTTGTTCATGACGCGATGCCCATGGGGCGTGATTAAAGCATGTAAGCGGCCTTATTTCAGTTTATGAAACTCCGGTCGTAGTTTCAAAACGCATAGCTACAAACCCACTCATATATATATACATATATATATATATATATATATATATATATATATGTGTGTGTGTGTGTGTGTGTGTGTGTGTGTGTGTGTGTGTGGTGTGTGTGTGTGTGTGTGTGTGTGTGTGTGTGTGTGTGTGTGTGTGTGTGTGTGTGTGTGTGTGTGTGTGTGTGTGTGTGTGTGTGTGTGTGTGTGTGTGTGTGTGTGTGTGTGTGTGTGTGTATGTGTGTGTGTGTGTGTGTGTGTGTGTGTGTGTGTGTGTGTGTGTGTATATAAATATTTCTATATGTATATAAAGATAAACATAATTTTGTGCGCACGTGGCCTGATAATTCATCAGCTCCAACCAAGCTTTGAATAATTAGTCATCCACGAATGGCATGTGCCGATGGAACTGAGGCCTTTATATTTAGTGCCTTTGCTCACACGCCACGGTCAGGAATGTCCAGACTCGTAGGCTTGCTCTGTGAAACTGGTTCGTGTCCATGACCACGTGGCAACAGGATCGATGGTGAGAACGGAAAAACCGAACACGGAATGCATGCCTTGAGAGTAATGCAGATAAATCGATTGCACGTACCGATTTTCCCGTTTGGTTGGAATTCTTCCCCTGGCTCCTCACTTATCACCGCTTTCCACAACAGAAGATCGTCGGCTTAAGCAACGTTTTATACACATTCGGTGCACTTTCACCGTAACATTTCGACGTGTAAGTACCCAATGCATGCTAAATGCAGTATGCAAACATACACATATGCATGATTTTACATGCTATGCATGCTAAATCTATTCAGCAGTAAATCCGTAGAAATCCGGTGTGATCAGTCGATCCCCGAGAGAAAATCGCTTTGAAGCGATCCACTCCCGCTCCAAGGATCAAACCCTCGTGAAACATCCTACTGATACCTTGATCCCACACACCTGCAAGCCAGCCACTGTTGCGCCACTGCCCAGCCATCCCAGTCCCAGACGCGGCTGCGCCACTGCCCAGCCAGCTCTGTCCCAGCCTCGGCTGTGCCATTGCCCAGCCAGCTCTGTCGTCGCAAGCGGCCCGTGACTCTGGGCGCGAGGCGACCTCTTTCGTGCAGAGCTGGCCGACCGCGGCGCAGACCGCCGTCACGGCTGCCCGAGCGTCACGGAGCCCCAGCCGCGCCCGGAGGCATCCGTGTCACGCCGGTCCGGATGGCGCCGAAATCCGCGGGCGCTGCGGAGCGAGCTGAGTACGGGAAAATCTGACCTCGCTCGGTGTGGGAGAGGCTGTCCGTGGGAACGGTGGATGGGTGCCGGCTCGTACGGGCGGAGACTGGAGTGCTGCGTTAGCAGGTAAATTGCAGGAGACTGCACGCCTGGCTAAGACGGTAGCACCCAGCGTTGCCGCGGAGACGACCACCGTAGCGTATGATTACCTTTCAATGGCGTCAGTCGTGTGCAAAGATGCTGGATAAACAGTCATGGCCTTGACGAGTTTCAGAAAAATGTATATCAGATAGGGGTTTACAGAACATGTATCAATTTAGACACCACTGACTATTTAAGAGAGGTTCAATCCACATGCTTCGACCATCCACCTCCTGCTGCCACCTGCGCATGATAACAATCTAACGACAGCGTTTTCTCATGAACAAACTCTTGCGCTGTCATCAGAATGTTATCTGAGTGTAATTTTTCTGTTCTCAGGCACCATGGTATGCATTCTCTTGAGTCCGAGATTCTGAGCCTGAACCTTAGCGCCATTTTCTGCTTTCAGGCACCAAAGTGCATTGCAAGTGCAAATGCATTCTCTGAATCTTGTAGAAACCGTTGTAACCGGACAACCCTACCAGAAACGGTAGTGCGTGTCATCTACTCTCACCATTAGAGCTATTTGCTATGCAGAAGCAAGTTTTCGTGGAAAATATAAGCGTTATCTATCACTGCTGGTTGAGTAAAATCATCCTGTTATGCATTGCGCCGGCGAACAGTTTCTAATCGCTCATAAATCGCGTATCCCCTCCGAACAAAGATGCGGTCAAAG